GCGCCTGGAAAGCGCAGCGAACTTCCTTGAGAAAAGCCGAAACGAACAAAAAGGGCAAAGCTCCCGCCTTGCCGCCTGCGCGTCGCCGTCGCCCCCACCCCCACGCCCCAGGCAAGAGGGGCTGGGCAGGCTGGGTGGATGGTGCTTCCCAGCCCCACCCCTTGGGGGCGCCAGAATAAAGCTGCCCAGCTGAATGGGTCCATCTAGTCCCGCACCCCACTTCCCAAAGGGAAGCCCCCATGCAGGGCAGAAAAGGAACGCAGCAGCACCCCATTACTATAGGGCTGGAAAGGGGCAGGAGGGACACAGGAGTATTTCTCACTTTTCTAAAAAGTCAAGGGAGATTTCCTCCACCCCAAAAATGGCGAAGAGGGTCATTTGGAGCGAGGACAAGCAGAGCCACGAGTGTGCGCAGGTTGGCAGTGATCCCAGGCAGTGCTAGAGGAGGAATTCAAGTTGAAACCAAACCAGCAGGTTAAGTGGTTAGAGCCTCGCCTGCTTCCCCAAGGGCAGATGGCAAGACTGGCAGCAAAACCAACAGGGGATTGGGAGTCCCGTGTCCCAGGAGAGGCCGGCTGTGTAGCACAGTAGCAGCTGCCAGGCTGAGCTTAAGCCTCTGCTGGCACAAAGCAAATGTGTTTGTGTGAACAGGAGGGGTGTGTGTGTGTGTGTTGATTTCTGAGCTAGCCTCCCTGTCGCTTTGCCAGGCTCTGAGCTTTCTGTAAACATCGCCTTGCAGTGCTGGCACACTTGTGGGCACCAATAGTCATTCATGCTGCAGAGCCTCTCGCCCTGCCCAGGAGCCCTGAAACCAGCCCCAGCCCGGCTCCCAAAGGCATCCCTATTCTGGGAAAGGTTGCAGGGGCCACGGGGCAGAGTTTGGCTTCCGTGGGGCGGGAGGACCCTGGAGCCTTCAGGCGCCTTTGGATCTTGGTGTGAGAGGCCCACTGGAAGTCTAGCAAGGCCAGAGGGCAGAGGGCACCTCTGGGTCACAGAGCCCTCATGCCACCTGCTGTAGGTGGGAGAGTTGGTGGGTGGGCTGAGGGGGTGGGACTTTTGCCCCAAGCCAGGAGGAGGGATGGGGCCTGATCTGGCTCAGCCACCCCAGACCAGTCAAAGGGTGTTAATGCAGCGGGAGGGAGGAACACGCGCTCTTGCCCAAAAGTCGTCCAACCTGTACAGGCAGACGAGAACCCCAGAAGAGCCAGATGCAAGCTCCCAGCGGAGGCTGCCTGGGCCACCAAGGAGGAAGAACTGGCTGCCCAGCCCTCTCCAGGGGAGCCTTGCGGAGGTGGCCTGTGGGGACCCAAGAAACAGAGGAGGAGGTTTCTCAAGGTCCAGGGGCTCCCTTGGCCTGGCAAAACAGACAATGCACCAAAGATCCCACAGATGAGCAGGCAAGGGACAGGTTTGGGCAGCGCCGGCAGCCAAGGTGTGCAGGCAAATAGCTCACTTTGATTCTGCCTCACAACCGCTTCCTGTTTGTTTAAGGCCAGAGAGCCAAGCCTGCCTCGTCTTGGGAGGGGGCAGAATGAGACAGCGGCCTCCATTAGGGAGCAACCCCCCCCCCATGAACAGGCCAGCTCTTCCAGGTCCCCAGGGCATCCCAGTGTGGTTTTGGTCTGGGGCCTGAAGGGAAATGGACAGAGTACACATGTGTACACACAGAGTACACATGCACATTCAACTGCCTAGTCCAGTGGTTTTCAACCAGTGTGCTGTGGCACCCTGGGTGCCTTGAATGATGGGCAGGAGTGCTGTGGGCAACACTGGCCTCCATCCCTTCCCACCCCCCATGCCCTCTCTTGTCACTGCCTCCCCAAGGCTTGCACCACTGTTTGTTGCAGCAGCCCTGGCTACAAGCTCCCCAGGCGAATGGTGCCTGTGGGGCTGGCCAGGAGCCGGGAACTCATAAAGGTTGAAAACCTCTGGCCTAAGGCATGTGTGTTACCCAGGAGATTGCAGCCACAGAGATATGAAAAGAAGATCCGTTCCATTGCCTGGTGAGATCACTTCCTGGTTCGCATGGAGCAGCAGTTTTCAGCAGAGCCCAGAGACAAAAGCGCCTAGCTGTATTGAGGCAGCACCGTGTTGAAATTTTGCACCCCTAACAAATAATTTTGTGGAGAAGAGCTATCAGAAGTGCCTTTTTCTGCACACTTCATTCAATAATTCAGGCTGCAGGATGTTCCCTGAGTGCCTGGTGCCAGGGCAAGGAGGCTCTGAGCATACTCAGAGTGCCTTGTCAAAAGAAGAGACTAGATATACTCTGAGTAGATGTTTGTTAGATACAATTCGGAGTGTCCCCCCAGCACACAGAAGGAAAAATGCAGCCATGAAATTGCCTGCATGATACAAAGGAAGGAAATCTCTGGGCATACACTGAGTGCAACTGCACCTGTGCTACTAAGACTTTTAGAATATTAATAAACTCACAGGAATTTTTTGAAAATAATATGAGCCTTGAATGGAGAGGGAGTCAAGAAACTAGTGTGTGCCAGCAGCAGGGGACACCCTCCACGTGTGGAAGGTTAATGATTTAACTATGGCACCTGCTGTCTGCCCAGCGTGCAGGTACAGGCACCCGCAGAGTGATGTCTGCAACAGGACTTCTTGAAAACGGAAAACCACAGCACTTCAAAGACTGCAATGTGCACACAGCCTGAGAGAGGACTTAGCTCTGCAGAAGCCAGGCTGACTGCGCCTCAGCAGGACTTGTTCTTCCGCATACCTGTCGATTCTACCTTGGAACAGACATGAAGCAAACTGGGCTGCAACTGCACAGATCCCTATTCCAAAAATGGTTTTTCTTTTAGCCAGTTTCCAGTTCTCAGGTACTAAGGCCGATCTTAAGGACAAACTGTGTTTTTATTGGCTCATCAGCAGATGAGAGAGATGTTGTGCTGGTCACCAGGCAATGGTTTTCCTCCTGCCTGCCCCCCCCCCTCCAGCTCTAGGAGCCTCCACGAGGGAGTTGTGAGAGGAGAGAGACTCCGCTAGCCATGGGGGGGGGGGTTCACCTGTGGCCACCCAACCTCCAGCCCAAGGAACCTTCAGAAGGGAGTTGCTGCCATGGGCCTTGAGTGGATGGGCCTTTTCATGAGCTGAGCAAAGTGGAATATTAGGAGTCACGGGGTTTGGAGAGTGTGCGCATGAACTTAACGGTGCTTGCTTTTATCTTTTGACTGCTATTCTGTTAATGTTAATATTTATTTTATGTTGGCATCCCTGTCTTGAGAGACAACGGAGTGTGCCTCTGGGGACAAAGACAAACCGCTGTGTTAGCAGCACCCAAGTGAGCTGCCTGGGGTGCAAGCCTGGCCAGAGCGCATGGAGGTGGTGGGATCCTCAGACCACAAGGTGGGCCTCTCTGGTGGGGCCCAAAGGAAAGCAGAGCAAGTCGTTTGGCACCAGCTGGGCTGCAGGAGTTGCTGGAAGCAGGAGCATGAGGTGAGATCCGCTCCGCATTTGCGCAGGGTCTACTCCCGAGTCTTTTCTTCTCCCAAAGAAATCCCACAAAGCAGCAGAGGTTTGGGATCAGAGTTTTCCTTCTCCTAGATGGGCTCTCTTCCCAGGTGGATGAGCCCCATCTGTCCCTAATTTGTTAATCATATAATATTATTTTTGCTTTAATTATGATGCTTTCGTCAGAAGTTGCTGTTATAACAGCGTTTTATAGATTGCAATTGTTTCCCTGATGATTTGTTAATTATCCTATATGATTTATGCTGTATTTGTGATGTTCTATCCTGCTATTGCTATTTGTTGTTTGTAAGTCTTTTTGGGGCTCATTTGAATGAAAAGTGACAGAGAAATAGGTTCAACTGATCGATCAATTCCACACCTGGAATTTAGTCCAAGATTCTGATTAAACATTAGGAAGAACTTCCTGAGCGTCAGCGCTGCTCAGCGGTGGAACGAGTGACCTTGGAGGAAGGTGGCAGAATCTCCTTCATGGGAGGCTTTTCAACAGAGGCTGGATGATCATCTGTCAGCCAATCCTAAATTGCAAGGGTGGACTGGATGGCCCTTGGGGGTCCCATGCAACTCTACAATTCTGTGGTCTGTGTTCTCCGCAGACTCTCAGCTGGGCCCCATCTGGACCAGTCCATTTTTCTGTTTTCAAAAGCGGGGAGCTTTCCCTTCCCCCGCCCCCTGTTTTCAATCCCAAGGAGCCCCCGGCCACCCCACCTCCCCCAAGGCAAGCGGAGCCTCTTTTGGCAGGCAGGCAGAGCCAGCACCCAAGCGAGAGGGGTCTAGAGAAACCGTGGTCTTTATTGTCCCTCGCTGAGCACATCCACAACCATGACAGGCGAATATTCCGCCTGGCTAGAGAGCAGCCGGCAGGCAGGCATGCTCCAGGGGAAGAGGGAGGGAGGGAAGGGGGGCACTCCAGGCAAGGACCCCCCCCAGGGCTAGCAGGAGACGGGCTTAGCACCACAGGGAGGTGGCCTTCCTCACCCCAAGAACCTGCTGTGGGACCGTCCAGGGGGTGCCCACCTGGGCACTGCTGGTGGGTAGAGCAGATGCCAAACATCCCACCTGGGGCAGGGCTGCCCCCCCACAGGGACTGAGGTGGGTGCTGAGGAACCGGGTGAGGAGCAGGGAGGGCCAAGGATGAGGCTGTCTGGAGGGGCTGCAGGGGACAGGCTAAGGGGTGGGGAAGGACTAGGGGAGGCCCCCTCCCACAAAGGCATTTGCATATAATGGGGGGGGGGTCTGGGTGCCTGCTCTGGAGGGTGGATGGGGGTAAAGCAGCCGGGCACTGAAGGAGGGGGGTGGGCATGGGGTGAGGTGGGCTCTGCCACTTGCTCAGCCTCCAGCCTGGCCAAGCGGGTTGATGCTGGCCACCAGTTTGCGCCCTCTGGGGGTGGGGGCGGCAGAGCTGCTTGGTGGAGGCCTCTGAGCCCGTCTCCCGTGAGGGGGCCCTGCCCCGACTGGCTCCGGGCGCCACAGTGGTCAGGATGGACGGCCCGTCTTTTCCGCAGAGGCTGCGTCCTTCAGGGCGGGGGGCCTCCGGGGGGCTCTGGGGAGGAGAGGCAAAGAGGAAAGCTCTGTCAGGGACGCTTCAGTGGTGACTCCTCCATCGCAAGGGGCTAGACTAGCTGGCCTTTGGAGACCCCTTCCCAGAAATCCCCCAGGGCAGCTGCACCCAGCTGTCCAGAGCAAAGGCCCCTGCCCACCCAGCCCTTGGAATGGGAGACTGGGGGGGGAGTAGGGGGCCGGACGCCCAGGTATGGGGCAAAATTCAGTTTCTGGAGAGGAAGCAGCTGGGTGAGGAGCAAGCTGGTGGGTCAACCTGCCCCACGGGGAGTGGGCCTCCTCTGAGCCACCCCAGGCGATGGGGGCGACTGGGTTGCCCAACAGCTTCCTCTAGTCTAGAGAGAAGACCCTGCCCCCCTCACCCTCCTTCCTCACCTGGAGGGGGCTCAGCCTCAGGCTCCGCCCCGGCTCCTCCTCCATCCTCAGAGGCTCCTCCTCCTCCGGCAAAGGTCAGCTCCGCCCCGTCCGTCACCAGAGAGCTGCGGGAGTGGAGGCACCGATCCCCGGAGCGTGTCCTGCGCAGGACAGACTGCAAGGGGGGATACCATGAGGGCAGGCGCTGGGGCAGCCCCTCTGCCCTCTGGGGGTGGCAGCCCCAGACAAGGGAGCCTTTCCAGGAGAGCAGGGCGGGGACGGCGGTGCCACTCTGACTCCCCAGAGCAAAGCGCCTCCAGCCGGACAAGGGAGGGAGGAAGGATGCCCCCAGCCAGGTGTTTGTGGGGACAGGCTAGAGGATTTGGTGCAATATTCCCCCCTCCTCCATCCCACCCCCAGATTCCCCCCCTTACCTTCCTGGTGAGGGGGCTGCTGGGGGCTGAAGCACTGCTGTAGAGGCTGAGACTGGAATTGGAGCGGCTGGGGGGAGACAGTGCCTTGGAGGCGGGGGCTGCGGACTGAGAGCCGCCCCCTTTGCCCCCCGCAGGGTCTGACGTCAGGTATTTCTCGTTGATCTTGAGGTTCGTCCTTCCCTTCACTGGGAGAGGATAAGAGGTGAGCGCGGGGAGGCTGCCGCTTCCAGGCCAACGAGCACAAAGAGAGGCCTGCTGGGTGCTCAGCTGGTCCCCAGCCCCAGCAGGATGAGGAGCACAGCGTCCAGGGCCTGGTGCTCCCACATGACACCGCAGTGAGAGGGGCTCCTCCACCCTCAGGGCCCAGGACCCTCAACAAGGCAGGGTGCCCACATCGTCCCTGAAAGCTGTTGGGTTCGCAGCCAAATCACAAATACATGTTTTGGCAGACAAGCCCAGGTGAGCACAAAGAGGTGCTCTTCCTAGAGAGGACCCTCTGTGTGGTCACTTCTTGCCTCCTCTGGGCAGAAATTCCGTAACAAAGGAGATAATCTTTTATACTTTCTACTGCCTTTGAGGAGACTCTCTCTCCATCATGCTTCCAAAATGACCAGATGTGCGTCTGGGGGCTCTGGACACCCACAGCCTATATTGAAGGCAACTTTTGTATTCTGTACCTGAGAAGTTTTCTTTCCTGTATTGTATATGCTGCCTGCACTGAAATGTAAGTAAACCTTTCTTTGTTTATCTTACTAAAAACATGTGGCTCATTCTCTGCAACGGAGGTGAAGAGCGGGAGGCCAGGAGACCACAAATAAAAGGGATAAAAAAGTGTAACTGCCTCATTCCTTAGTAAGCTGCAGAATGTATAAGAGTTTTATGTTGCTAAAAAGGCTTGGCAGCCCCCTACTTTTTGTATGTCGTCCACACAAATGGATCTACATTTTAATCAACAATCCGTTTCCCACTTGCCTCCTCTGCCTCCTGCTGGCCCACAGAGGGAGAAGCAGAGCCCCCTATTGCCCCCCCAACTGAGCCTGCCAAAAAGGCCCAGGAGGTGTCCATGGAAGAAATGCCCCCCTCCCACTGCCACCCCTAGCCCCTCACCTCTGCAAGGGTCGTTCTTCACCAGGAACTCATCCAGGGCAATCCAGCCTCCGCCCACACGCACCATTAGGGTGCTCCGCAGGATGCGGACCATGCGCAGCTGCTGTGACTCCCCAAACTGCAAAGGGGGGGGGACACAGTGAGCTAGAGGAGCCAGAGGAGAGAAAGCCGCCTCTCTATGAAGGAGGCTGCGAGGGACACAAGAGACCTCCTTGCGGGGTTTCCTTCTGACAAGCGGTCCAGCTTTCTGCCCCAACCACCCGAGTCCCTCTGCCTGGCTGCTCCCAGGCCTGGCGGGACTTTGCAGGAGGGCTACCTGGCGGGCGCCAACTCCTCTAACCGCTGGATTGAGAATCCTAGAGCCCTAGAACCCCAGGGGCCTTCTAGTCCAGCCCCCGCAATGCAGTGCACAGTGGCCCCTCCTCCCAGAAGCCCAGCAGGCCCCTGTCCTGGGGGGGGGGCGAGGGGGCTCCTGGCCAAGCACTTACTCTGTACCGGTTGGCACTGATCTGTTCCACCTGGAAACGCTTCTCACAGTTGCACTGAGCCACCTGCCTGTTCACCTGGAAAACAAATGGAAGTGGTGGTGGGGAGGGGTCTTCTCAGAGAAGGAGGAGGTGAGGGTCAAGGGCTGGCTGGGGGGACAGGCCTAAGGGCAGGCCGAGGGGGGGGCTTTGCCCCACCCAACCCCCTGCTCTCTGGGAAGACTCCTCTTTGCAACGTCCTCTGACAGTTGCATCTTAATGCTTTTTTGCAACCGAGTGGCGGATGATTCTTCCGAGGCCAGTATCTCTCCGGGCCGTACCTCGTCCTGGATCTGGTCCGCATCAGCCGCCTTGCGCAGGATGTCCCGACTGGGGTGCAGAGCACTCACAAACTCATAGTAGTCAATGAAGCCATCCCTGTTCAGGTCAAAGATGCTGGCCACAGCACTCATCTCCAGCGGGTTGGTGGGGAATTCTGGGGAGGGAAAGAGGGGGGGCAGGGGGCTGGCCGGACACTTGGGCCCCACCTGCCACACGGCGAGCCCCACAAGCCAGGGAACTGCCACCAACAAGGCATGGCGAGCCTAGAATGTGGAGGACAGCCCTCAGGGCACATCTGGGTGGGTGCTCCACTGGGGGCTAAGGAAGGAGGGGGGTCAGAAAGAGCAGCTGCTGCCAGAGAGGAGGGGTCTCCTCTCCACATCCCACTACTAGTCCTGCCATGTCCCCAAGTGTGCTGAGTTGGGGGTCCGGCAAAGTGAATGGTCCCAAAGCAGCTGGGGGTCAGGTACCAGTGCAGTTAACTCTTTATTCAAAGGAACCAAAACAGCTCAGACCCAGTGATCCCAGCAACTTTCCCCAGTAGGTCTTGCCTTAATAAGGCAGTTGCAAGGACTGAGGACACCCGCCTTCCCACAGCTGCCGAAGTCCCCTCCTCTCCAGGGTTTGTGGCAGCTCTCCTCCTCCTCTGCCCTTTCCGTTTCTCTGCATGTTCTGGGAGACCAGCGGTTGCAGCAGGAGGGAGGGACCCCCTGGACTCTTCAGCAGCCGGTCTCCCCTCCTCTCCTGCCTCTGAGTCTGGACTGCTCTCTGCCACAGCCTCTTCCTGCTCACTAAGCCCTGTTCCCTCTTCAGCTTCCAACGCCTCTTGCTCCCAGTCTGCTCCCTCTGACCAGGCATCCTTGTCCCACCACCAATTCCTGGGCTCTGAGTCTTCTTCCCCTGGGGGTTCCCCGGCTGGCGCCTCGCACCACTCCTCTGCACCCAGCTGGTCCATGACACTGGGGAGGTGTTGCCCCCCCTCCTGCCCCTTCCCGGGCACTTGGCCCTGCTGCACTCACTGGAAGAGAGGACGCTCTCGATGAACTCCTGCTGGGTGATGCGCCCGTCCTGGTCCCGGTCAATGCCCCGGAAGACGTCCAGGATGCGAGATTTCATCTGGCTGATCCACTGCATGTACCGCTTTCGCCAGACCGAGAAGTCAAAGTGGGCAAACTCCTCCAGCTGAGAGAGAGAAAGATGGGGCTGCTGGGACGGGGCCAGGCTCCCCCGCTCCCCATCCATGTCACGCACCCATGGGAAGGAGGGGGAGCAGCAGCAGAGGATGGGCCTGGCTGCAGCTGGATCCTGTCCAAAGGGGCCCATCTCACCCAGCTCCCCCCCCATGAGGGGCCCATAAGCAGCTGCCCAACCCAGGTGGGGTCAGGAGGGAGGGAGGGGGAGGCCTCTTACCCTGCAAGGGGGTTCAGGCTGGGGCTTAAGGTTCAAGGTGCCAGAGGGACCCACATCAAGGGGTTCATTGGAGGGCATCCCCCAGACATCCGCCCTACTCAAGCCCCACCCTCAGCTGCCTCTTTCTCTCCCAGCCACGCAGAGCCAGGACCGTGGGCTCCCCGCTGCCCCTCGTTCCAGTGCCCCCACCCCTTACCTCTCGCTGGCGCTGCTGGGCGTTCTGGAGCCGGTACTGGCGGTCAAGGGCCAAGAGCCAGAGCTGCTGCCAGCGCTGCACCAGCTGGGCCAGGAGGGGGCTCTGGGGCGCCAGGTCCTCGAGGGGCACAGGCCGAGCCCTGGGGGAGAGCTTCCTGGTGCTGCGCCGCCCTGCAAGAGAGGAGCGTGCCTGGCTGTGGAGCAGTGCCCCCCCCCAGCCCCCCAATTCTCTTCCTCCCTCTCTTCCATCCAGTGGAGCTGAGTGTTGGAAGACTCAGCAAAGATAAAAGGAAGGACTTATTCACACTGATCAGCGTTAATCTGTGGAACTCCCTGCAGGAAGCAGCAATGGCCACTAACATGGATGCCTTGAAAAGAGCATTGGGCAAATTTGTGGAGGAGGCAGCATGCAGGCCTCTTTCCAGGGACACACACTGGCCTTGAGGGAGGGGCACTTACGAGAAGGCAGCTTGCGGGAGCCAGGGGCCATCCCCCCCGCCTCAGGGGCTGTCTTGCGCTTGCAGCTCTTGGTGACCCTCTCCACATCTGGCTGCTTGTGGGTCAGCTCCTCCATGAACACCTGGGGGGGAGAACGAAAGGGGGGAGGGAAAGGGCAGCTGCTCCTCCCTGCAAGGTGGGGCCACAGGGAGGCTGGTTCCACATCCAGCTGCCTCAGTTCTTTGTGTCTCACTCCTGCAGGAGTGGGGGTGGAGTTAGCCCCCTCCTCCTGAGGTGGTGGGGAAATCTACAGTCCAAATGACAATTACATTTGTTAAATGTGCCTGTAAAGGGCTTAAGATTCACAGAGTTCCTGTATTCCTAGAGAAGACAGGTCTGTGTGCCGTCACACACCCTACACCCTGTGGCAGGAAATGGGACAAAGGATTTCCATCTTTTCCACTTCCTCTTTGCCTCAGTCTCCCTCTTCCTTCAAGCCAGCGATGTGAGCAGCCGCACAAGCCTGGGCTCATTTCGGAAACTGATTTTGCATTTTGTAACTAAGACGTATTTTACCTGTGTCCTACTTTTTGCTGCCTGCATTGAAATGTAAGTAAACCTTTTTGTTTGTACTAAAATGTGTGGGTCATTCTTCGCAACGGAGACAGTGGGGAAAGGTAGGCAGACCACAAATATATTGGGATAAAAGGTATAATCGACTAATTCCTAGCTTCCAGTAAGTGGCAAAAGAGTTTTTACTCTGCCAAAAAAGGGCTTCACAGCCTGTTTACTCTCATATTTCTCGCCCACACATGGGACAGGAGGTTTAAATTTCAATTTGCTGGGTTCATCCTCATTCCATCTCCCTCAGGGATTCCCAGCCAGAGATGCCCACAGGCATCCAAGGCCACAAAGTCAGGGTGGGCCACTTACCCCGTGCTGGGTGCTGAGCTCCTCCAGCTGCTCCGCGTCCTCTGGGAGGGGCTCCTCGTCCCGGAGGCTCAGGGCTTCCTCAGCGGCCGTGATCCAGTCCATGAGCCGCGCCACTTCCTCCCGCTCCGTGGCCAGAGAGGCCGCCTGCACCTGCAGCCGCTCCTCCTGCTGCTGGGCCCAGCTTAGCACCTGCGGGACACAGAGGGGCTGGCGCCAGGGGGTCCTGGGCAGGCCGGAGGGGGACTGGCACTCAGCCTGGGCCTGCCTCCCTTAGCCTCCCCTCTCCTCCCCTGCTGGTCCCGAAAGAGTGGGAGGTGGCACAGCTCAAGCCAGGCCCCCTTTTAGGGAGGTTTTGAAGAGACACCCCCTGCCCCTCCAGCAGCTGGAACTGGTTGCACGTCCGTAGCCACAAGGTTGTGTGTTTCTGCCCTGATTCAATGCTGCGGCTGGAGGCTGCCATCCCTCCTCTACCCGTATCTCATTCACTCGTTGCTTTTGACTGGCACCTTTTTCTCCCAGGAGCGGAAGGTGAAATACATGGTTCCAGCCCCCCGCCAACATTTAATTCCCACAACGACCCTGTGAGGTAGGTAAGGGAGAGAGAGGTATGAATTGTCCCCCAAGGTCACACCCAGGAACAGCTTAATGACCGAGTGGGAGAATTTGAACCCTGGTCTCTGCCAGGTCCTAGTCTGACACTCCAACCACACCCCCTCTGCCCTCGCCCTGCGGGCGCCACCCTCACCTCCTCGAAGCGACTCCTGGCGACAGTGACCCACGACCGGATGGTGATGACAGAGTCCGGGTGGGAGGTGCTGAGGATCTCCTCTCCCAGGGAGCTGATGCACTCCAGCTGCAGCTGCTGGCACTGGAGGCTCTGCCTCAGATCCTGCAAGCAGAGCGGAGGGGCGCTCAGCGCCATCCAGCCAGCAGCTGGATGCAACCTGGGACAGGCTCCTCCTCTGGGCACGGCGGGATGGGGCCTGTTTCTGTGGGAGGCTCTGCAGCCAAATCACAGATTGAATGATGGCTGGAGAGTCACAAACAGGGGACTCTGGGATGTCAAATCCTCTAAACCTTTGTGGTGGGAAGGAGAACAATGGAAACTTAATCTTTGCTTCTTCCTGTCACTACACGTTCTTTTTTTCTACCTGCAATGGGGGAAGACGTTTCTTTGCTCTCTCCATTTTGAACCAGACTATGGTTTTTTGTAGCATTTAAGGATTATTGCCTGCCTGATTTTCATCACAGTATTCGTAGAATCCTGGCAAGACTTGGATGTGAGTAAATGTATTTTCTTATTTATTAAACAGTTTGAGAGTGATTTCTTCGTTAAGAGGGAAACATAAAATGAGGAGAAAATAATCCAAATCTGCCTAAAGCAACCTTGGGTAACATAATTGTTCTAGAAGGTTATGTAGCCTTGTCCCAGCAGCTTCTAGAGATAAACTGTGCACAGATAGTGCTGAAACCGATGTTTGCTTTCTCAAGAGGAAGGATTGTTACTAATAAATATTCCCTCCTATTCATCTAATTCCATCCAAGGAAAAGGGGGTGGGGAAGGGGCTGCCTCCCCTCCCCCAAGGGCTGCCCACCTGCAGCTGGCTCTGGCACTCCTGCACAGCAGCCTCCTCTGACGGAAGGGCACCAAACTTGATGGACTTCTCCAGCTCAGTCAGGCGCCCCAGGAAGGAGTTCACCAGGGCATGGAACTCCTCGGCCTGGAAGGAACAAGAGGTTGGCATCACAGCGGGGAGACCCATCTGGGCAGGGCTGGTGCCCCCCCCAAGGAAAAGCTCCTCCAGCCCCACCCAGCCATTACGCCTGCATAGAGGAGTGGGTGTCCCAGCAAAGGCAGGGGTGCATGGGGGCAGGTAGAGAAGCAACGGGGGAGCCATTGGCAGCAGCCAGAATGGTGACTGGCAGAGAAGGGTTCAGGTCGCTTTCCTCCCCCCCCCCTTCCCCCAAAGATCCTGGGGTGGCTTCCCAGGCCTGACCAGAGGGAGGACCCTGATGCTGTGGCTTCTCCAGTAGCCCTCCTTCAGTGGCTCCTTCCAAGCGCTTTCCATCCTGAGGGTCCTAAGCACCAATTCTCCCACAAAACCAACATCCAGTTCATTCTCAACTGTAGCTTTGTTTTTCTCAAATATATGTGTCTCTGCTTTGTTGTGTCAACGAAAAAGCTTCGCCACCATGCAAGTGCCTACCAGCCTCTGAGACTCTGAGGATCCTGGCCCTCCCTGAGCCTTTGATCATGGCTGGTCTGAGCCCGAGGCCGGCCGGAGAGCGATTGGGCTGCTTGAGCAAGACGGAGCCCCAGGGAGGCAGAGACCTCGCCTTGCCCAGAACCCTTTGCCAGGTCCCACAACACCAAGAGCTCCTTCCGTCCCTGCTCCTGAAAGGTGGCTAAGCGAGAGCAGCTCAGAGCCAGCAGCCCACACCCTCCAGAGTAAGGGGGCTTGGTGTGGGCTCCACAGTAAGGGGGCTTGGTGTGGGCCCAGGTAGCCTGCTCCTGACCATGGGGAACAGCCCCGCCTGGGCCTGAGAGGAGAGACAGCAACCCAGGACCCCCTTTGCCCATCTCCTGCCCGCCTGCCATGGCTTCATGGCTCACCAGAACCCTCCTCCTCCTCCTCCTCCTCAGCTCGCCCCACTTGCCTGCCGCAGGGCAGCCTCTAGCCGGTCCTGCTTGGAGACAGAGAGTTGGCAGACGATCTCCCAGCGGTGGCTGAGCTCTTCCACTTGGCTCTGGAGCCACTGGGAGTCTCCGGCGCCACCGCTGCTGCCGCGCATCAGATCCCGCAGGGAGCGCCTCAGCGCCTTGATGCAGCTGGCTCTCTGGCCCAGCTCCTTCTGGAAGACCTGCGAAGGGAGGGTGGGGCAGGCACATCCAGCGGCTGCTCCTGGACACTGCAAGCCCACCACCCCACCAAGGGGTCTAGGCACGCCTGTGCCCCCAGCCCAAAGTGGAGCGACTCCGCTGCAGACCCCCCACAGACCTTGTGCTTGTCCATGAGGGCACTGACCAGGTCCCTGTCCCCACCCACGGGGGTCTCCTCGGCCAGCTGGGGCTCAGCCCGGTACAGCCAGTCCATGAGGGTCTGCAGGGCATCTGTGAAGCGGCCTGAGAAGAGCAGACCTTCCTCCAGCTTGCGCTGCCTGGAAAAGAGAAAGGCGGCCCAAGGTCAAGGGGCCAGCAGATTCTGGCCAGTGGGAAGGGGGTGGATGAGGGGGAGCCCCCCCCCGCTTTCCATGCAGAAGGCCTCAGGTTCCATTTCCAATGGGAGCAGCTCCATGTGGGGCTTGGAGAGACCCCACCCTCAAAACCGGGAGAGCTATGGCTGCCTGCCAGCACCAACGATACTGAGCAAGATGAACCAGTAATCTAACAGGGGAGGTTTCATCAGCAGCCAAATCACAAATGCATGATTGCTGGAGATTCACAAAAACAGGACTGCATGATCTCATAGCCTCTAAAGTTTGTGGTGGGAGAGGGAACAACAGAAAACGTAATCTTCCTGTCACAGCTCACTCTTCTTCTTACCTGTGATGGGGCAGGATATCAGTAAGCTCTCCACCAGACAAAGAACACCATTTTGAATTGGACTGTTAAGGATTATTGCCTGCCTGATTTTCATCACTGTAAGCATTGAACCCTGGCAAGACTTTTGACGTGAGTAAAGCTTGTGTTTTCTTGTTTATTAAACCGTGTGAAAGTGATTTCTTTGTTTAGAGGGAAACATAAAACAAGGAGAAGATAATCCAAGTCTGCCTAAAGCATCCTTGGCCATCATAATTGTCTGGCCCAAAGCCCCAGCTCCACCCCCAAATGCATACCCACCTCTCAGCCGCCCGGCCACAGATGGCCTCCCACTGGCCTCTCAGCTCCCCCAGCATCTCCTCCAGGGTTTGGGTGTCGTCAGGCAGCAGGGCCTTCTCCCGGAGAAGGCGCCCACTCCGCAAGGTGGCCTCATAGACCGGGCGCTTGGCACGCAGCCCCTTCTGGAACTCCTGCAGGGGGGGCAAGAGAGGGCAAAGGGCCCAGTCAGGAGAGCAGGGAGGGACACAGAGCACACCCCTCCTCAAAAAAGAGCCCTTGTTGCTCCTTGAAATGCCAGTGGGAAGGTAACTCCTTGACCATGAGAGTAGATATGGCTTCACGAGTGCACTCCTGCGAGGTGGGCCACAACTGCTCCCAAGGACAGCTGGGGCCAAGGTGGGTTTTGACATGAGTCCGGCCAGGCTCCCTTCCCATTCCTGACTAGGCCTGGGCAATGTATCACTATATCGCCCAGGACAGGTCTGAGGGGCAGACCGTGATGGTGGCTTCACTCAGCGGTATATCTTGGATGAAAGCGCCACCGCTCTTGATTCCTTCCAGTGGCTGCTGGTGGCAGAGGGACTCAGGAGTGGCAGCAGTTTCACCAGCGATTATAGTGCTGAGTGAAGCTGCCATTCCACTCTGCCCTCATCCTGGCAGAAGGCGAAACAGGCTGCACCCGGGAGGCGCCAATATAGCTTGTTCCTCCCTCTGCTTCTTTAAGCAGCTTGGCGGAGGAGCACATGGCTGCCCTTGTCTCAGCCAGGCAGTTTTAAGGAGCCTCCAAACTGCCAATGGCTTGCATGAGCTGGGGGCCGGGTGGGGGCTCCATAATACTGCTCTGCTGAGAGGCACATGGTTGCTGCTCCTGTCAGCCAAGCAGTTAACGGAGCCTCCAGCCCATCGCTGTATTGTGTGAGCCAGCAGGGGGGCGGGGGCTCCGTAAAAGTCCTCCTGCCCTCAGCAGAGGGAGCCCCAATGCTTCTCCAGCTCACTTGCAAATCAGAGAAGCATCGGAGCTCCCTTAGCTGGCAGGCGAGAAGCTTCATGCTCCCCAGCTGAGCAGCCCCGATCCGTCTGCTGCTCGTGCGCAAGCCAAAGAAGCATTGGGCCCCCCTTAGGTGGGGAGCGCAGAGCTGCTTCCTCCCTGGCGTGGTGAGGACCCCAACGCCTCACAGTGCTGTGGTGGGAAGCAGAGTCTTGAACAACGCAATGTATCGCCAGGTCACAATGTTTGGAAACCTGACATCGCCCAGCCCTCCTCCCGACATGAGCCCAGGACGCCGGGCAAGGTGAACCACCTGCCTGAGCCAGCAGGCAATGATTGCGCCCTTGGTGTGGGGCAGCCGTGATGCACAACGGCCACCCTGGCCTAAATTTTGTAGCCAATAAGGGAGAGGCAATGAGCGTCTGGCTGGGCAGCGGAGGAGAGGGCAGCCCAAGACCCGGGGAATCAAGCAGAGGTGGGGGGGGGCTACCTGCCAGGGAAGCTTTATAAGCAGCGATATGTGTGCAACTCTAAAGTGAGCCAAAAAGTCACAAAAGGGGGCAGAAGGGGGCAGAACAGGGTGTTTGCAGGCTTTTCCAATCATACTGAAAAATGGGTGATCCAAAGATATGAGATTTCATGCAAGTTCACAATGACCCGGAATGCAACCCCTGCACAGACGGGGAGCTGCCAGTAGTTGTGATTCCTGCATTGCAGGGAGTTGGACTAGATGACCCTTAGGGGTCCCTCCCAACTCTGTGGTCAGGAGGATCCAGAGAGGCCTCCAAGGGACACTCACACCCACACGCCGCACTCACCTTGTGTTCCTCCAGGAGGCTCTTGATCTCTTCCTGGCTCACAGCAGCATTGCTGGTCCCCTCAAGGTCCGGCTCCACCTCATCCAGCCAGTCCAGGAGCAGCTGCCAAGACTCACTGAACTGCAGGCCGGGGGGGAGGGGGCTGCGGTCAAGTCCCCCTCATGCACCCCCCAGAAGCCCACCCTCCCACCCGCCTGCATCTCAGCAGCGCCAGGGCTGGGGCTTTTCCCCATGTGCCCACAACCGCCCCCCACGAGACAGGAGGCTCCCCAAAGGGCCATTCCCCCCGCCACCGCCATACCTGCTTGGTGCGCTTGCGTGCCTCCTCCAGCTGGCCCCCCCTCTCGCCCACATGCTGCGCCACCTTGGCCAGCCGCTCCCTGGCGGTCAGCACCAGGCTGTGGATGAGGCCGCAGTCCTGCTTCCGGCTGAAGCCCTTCATGCGCATGGCGACCGCCTCCAGGCCGGCCAGCTTCTCGCTCTGCGCCTGGGTCTCCTTGGCCAGGGCCTGCGGGGGGGAGGGGGGAAGTGGGGCAGCTGAGCACCCCTGGCCCTTCACCCACAGGAGAGGGTGCAGGCGCCTCCCACCCGGACTGCCCACCACAGGGTCTCAGGCCACGGCAGGCGGGCAGCTCACCTTCTGCTCCTGGATCTGGCTGGTGACGGTTTCCAGGACGTAGCTGGGAGGGGGCAGCCCCGCCAGGGCCTCTTCCGTCCTCCCCACCCACTGCAGCAGCTCCTGGGCCGTGGAGTGGAACTCGGTGCTGACCGTCAGCCCTTCGCTGAGCTGCTCCTGGGGGTGAGGACTAGTTGCTCAAAAAAACATTCTGCAAGTTCTGCTCGACTCTATACTTTACATGGCTTTTTATGTATTGTGGCTTGCCGTTATTTAGCTACCTTAGGAATGGTTTATCATAATTGTTGAGAGTTTCTGTTTAATTATTATTTGCTGCTATTTTATTATTATTATTATTAGCAATAATTGTGCCTCGGATTAACCTCATTGGCTACGATACTGCCACTGCACAAAGCTTATTTGCTGCTATTTTGAGAGTGAATGTAATTGTGTTCTAATGGATCGCTGAATGTTACTTTATTTGATGCACGCTGTTTAGTTTAGAGCCACATTTTTTATTATGACTTTCTTTCACTGGATCAGGTTGTTACAGGACATGTGATCTTTGTTGCATATTTTGTTGTTTTTTTCCTGCTGGTAAACTGCCTCGGGTGTAGCAATGCATTATTTATTAAATTTCTATACCCCCCTCAACTGAGGATCACAAGGCAGTTTGCAATACAAAAACACAAAAATGCAGACCACAAACAAAAAAATACCCCTCCCCCAGTTCAAAAGGCCATAGACTGTTCAATTAGACGCAACAGTTCTCAACCGGTGGGTCCCCAGATGTTGTTGGACTACAACTCCCATCATCCCTGAGCTCTGGCCTTGCTAGCTAGGGGTGATGGGAGTTGTAGTTCAACAACATCTGGGGACCCACAGGTTGAGACAGGCTGAATTAGAGAAAGGCCTGGGCAAAGAGGAATGTTTTTGCCTGGCACCTAAAGACAGGCAATGAAGGTGAACCCCTGGGAGAGCATCCCACAAGTGGGGGGCCACTGCCGAAAAGGCCCCTTCTCGTGTTGCCACCCTCCAGACCTCAAGCAGAGGAACACACAAAGGGCCTCCAATGATGACTGCAGGATCAGGATTGGTTCATGTGGGAAGAGGTGGTCCTTGAGGAACTGCGGTCTTCGGCCACTTAAAGCTTTAGAGGTCAAAATCAGCAAACTGAATTTGGCCCAATTTGAAAGGCAGCATACAAATTAAAAGAGGATTGCAACGAAATCCAGGAGCCGACCAGCCCTGGGCCTCATCCCAGCGCCACTCACCTTCCGCTCCTGCACCAGGCTGGCAACGCTGGCCCACTTCTGCTCTAGGATGCTCAGGCTGTGCTCCATGCTGGAAGCCCGCGGGGGGTGGCTGGTGGCCAGCAGGCGCTGGAGCTGCTCCCGGACGCTGTGGTATGTCTGCTGCTTGGACTCCATCTCTCGGCACAACTCCTGCCAGAAGGGAAGGGCAGATGTGAGGGGCTGGGCGTGGGGGGCGTGGGGGGGTGAGCATCTGCAGTGGCTCCTTTGCCTTCCTTCTGTCTCGATGATTCAGGTGAAGCAGGAATAAAGAAACAGAAGGAGCTGTCAAGTCTGGGCGGGGGATAAAAGGCCTTGCAAAGAGCTGGATGGATCAGCAATCTGACTTTGCAAGAGGTATGAGGGTCCCCTAACACACACAGCCCATGTAGAAGCCAACTTTTGTATTTTGAACCTAATAAGTTTTCTTATGCTGCCTGCACTGAAATGTAAGTAAACCTTTTTTGTCTCTCTTACTAAAACATGTAATTCATTCTCTGCAACGGGGGTTAGGAGGAAGGACAGGGCAGGAGGCCACAAGGAAAAGGGATAAAAAGGTGCAACTGCCTTGTTCCTGTGAAATATATGTGTTTTACTCTGCTAAATAGGCTTTGCAGGCCACTTACTCTTTGCATTTCTCCCACACACCTGTAATAGGAGGTTTAGATTGTAATATACAGATTTAACTCTCAATCCATCTCCTACATAATGTTTGATGTTGGGTTGTGTTTTTATATATGGCTGGGGAAACCCAGTCAGATAGGCGGAATATAAATAGATAGTAGTGGTAGTATTACAGAAGGGACTCACCAGATGTGCGGCCAGCTTGTCCTTGGTGGTCTCTGGGTGATCCCAGCCGGGCTTGGAGAAAAAGAGCTGGAGCTCCACGTGTTCCAGCCACCGGAGCAGCTCTGTGATCTCCAAGGTCAGATCCTGCACCTGCAGGCGGAAGAAGCCCTGAGCAAGCCAAGCTGAGCCCCTCAGAGGGTGGTTCTCCCGTCACAGAGCCTGAGTCTTCCTTACTGGCAGAAGACTCCAAACCCCACTAGGTGGCCCTTTGGAAAGACAGAGTCCCCACAGCCCAGTGATGGGGAGACGGGGGGCAGGGGTTCCTTTCCCCTGTGTCTCCCTTAGGGGATTTGGGATGACCCCCCCCAAAAAAAACAGCAGAGGGTAAAGGTAAAGGAACCCCTGACCATTAGGTCCAGTCGCAGATGACTCTGGGGTTGCGGTGCTTATCTCGCTTTATTGGCCGAGGGAGCCGGCGTACAGCTTCCGGGTCATGTGGCCAGCATGATTAAGCCATTTCTGGCGAACCAGAGCAGCGCACGGAAACGCCGTTTACCTTCCTGCTGGAGCGGTACCTATTTATCTACTTGCACTTCGTGCTTTCGAACTGCTAGGTTGGCAGGAGCAGGGACCGAGCGACGGGAGCTCACTCCATCACAGGGATTCGAACCGCCGACCTTCTGATCGGCAAGTCCTAGGCTCTGTGGTTTAACCCACAGTGCCACCCAGAGGGTAGGGAAATACAAACACAGAAATAGACCACCATCACCACATTTCTCCCCCAAAGCCCCCGTTCCTGGAGGGCGGGTGCAAAGAGAGCCCTGCGCCTGACCAGAGGGGCTGCATCCTGCCCCCTGCCCTGTGGAACTACCTGGCTGAGGTTGTTCTCCAACTCCAGCTGCCGACTCTCCGTCTCGCCCAGGAGGAAGTCCCAGCGCTGGCCCAGCTGCTGGAGGCTGCCCTGGAGCCCCTCCACTGGGTCCCCTGCCCCAGAGAGCACCAGGGCCTCCCCGGCCTCCCTCACAGACTGGACGGTCCGGGTGCGAGAGACGACATCGTTCCGCAGCACCTGCTCCGGGTGAAGAAGGCCGGCTCAGTGGGCTTTGCCCGGGAAGGTGCCAGGGACCCCCGGGCCCTCCCTCGCTTCCCCTGCCCCCCTCCTGACCTTGTGCTTTGCCAGCTCAATCTCACAGCTCTGCAGGTCCAGGCTGAGGGCGGTGGGGGCCTCCAGCTGCTCTGTGGCGCGAAGGAGCCACTGCAGGAGCTCCTCCAGCTGGTTCTGGAACTGACCCAGACCCAGGAGGGCGGCTTCCAGGCGATGCTGAGGAGGAGACGAGAGAGGGGCAGGGCAGCCTCCATCAGGGGCAGAGGCTGGCCTGGGCTTGGCACAGGCTGCCCTTGGTCAGGAGCAGAGGGGAAAGATCGACAGGTGGTTGAGGAAGACAGCCAAGCTGCACCCCAGAGAGAAAGGAAAGCCGTTCCCCACTGGGCCACTGTTCAATTTCTCAGACCCAGACCCAGACCTGACCAAGCAAAGGGGCAACTCCACCCACCAGCCACAGGAGGTTTCTCTCCTGAAATGCTCTCTCAGCCCCTGCGCACCCTAGTCCAGCCGTCACACTGGCCACCTGTCATCCTCACCTGCCGCTTCACAATTTCCTCCTCCAGCCAGTTCCAGCGGTCGCGGAAGCTGCAGAGAGCGCTGGGGGCCCCCTTGATGTTGGCCCCCCTGGGGCTCACAGGGTGCCGCAGGCTTTCTACATCCACCTTGACCTGGTATAGCTCTCGCTTGAAATCCTGGGGGGGGGGGGAGGGGACAGAGCAATTTATTTATTTCTGCTCTCCTCCAGAGATCAATCTCCATTTTGAACTGGACTATGAATATTTGTAACACTTAAGGGTTATTGCATGTCTGATTTCCATAATTGAAATTGATGACCCCTGGCAAGAAGTTGATGTGAGTAGACATTGTATTTTCTTGTTTACTTAACAGTCTGGTTCCTTTGTTGAGAGGGAAATGTAAAACAGGGAGATGATAATCCAAGTCTGCCTAAAGCATCCTTGGATATCATTGTTCTAGAAGGTGAGGCAGCCTTGTCCTAATAGCTTCTAGAGATAAGTTGCACATGGAAGGTGATTAAAAATGCAGCTGAAATAGATATTTGCATTTTCACACAAGAAGAGGAAGGTTAATGAATAAATAATATATCCTCTCCTACTCATCTACATCCATTCAAGAGAACCGTCCCAGGTGGTCCCTCGGCACCTGCCCAGCACACCTTTTGCAGCAGCATCAGGTGGGAAAGAGATGATTGGTCCAGGTCTCCACAGTGGCCAGGAATGGATTTTCCTTCTAGTCCTAAATCACTCTCTGGTTAAAAGGGGGAGCTCATGGAGTGCAGGGAAGGGTTCCACTGCCTGCCCCACTGTACACCCTGCCCCATAGCTACGGTTGCAAGCATATAAGGAATACCTGTTGCCCATTCAAAATGTGTTCAAGAATCAACAGACGCAGCAGTGGAGAAAAAGAAAGCAAAATTTATTGCTGAGCAATCAAGACCCAGTGGAATATTTTCCAGAGCTGGGTACCTGAGCCCCTAGGGCTTTGGCTTTATATACCTGATTACAAACAGCATTAAGCGTTACATATTCATATACTGCAGCAAAATCAAACCAATGAGCAGGGACAAGAGCCCTTCCTATGCCCATGTAAAGAAGACTTCTGCTTTTCCCATATATGTGCATAAGAAATCACCGACGGCCTTTGCCCTAATTTTCATCAATAAAGAGGAAAAGAAACCTCTTTGGCAGCTGAAGACCGAACACCCCCTTTCTGTTATCAGGCTAGAACATTACATTATGTGGCAGGCATTCGCCTTCCTGTTTCCCCATTTTTGGCCTAGCATGAGAAACAGTCTGGGGAATGTTCCCTATAGATAAAATGCCAACACATCAAACTTATTGTTTCCTGCAAGCACAATAGCAGGGCAGAGAGAAACAGGGCAGAGAGAAACTCTGGACTCCTGAGATTTTAGGCACTTCTAGCCTTAATGAAGCCTTAGTGATTTAAGCATCATTAGGATACATGGTTATATAGAAAACATAAAGGTAAAACTCTTCCAGGTGGCCTTGCCACACTACAACCAAGGAGTCCAGAGCACACAGCCCACTCCTCCACTTCTTCTGAGCATCTCCCTTACCTTGAGCTCTGAAAGCTGCCGCTTGACCAGGTCCAGCTCCCCCCCGACCAGAAACTCCTCTGCAATCTTCAACTCAGCCGCCTCCAGCCAGCTCAGGAGCCTCTAGGGAAGTGCGGAAAGGGGCGGGGGTCCCAAAGAGGAATAAGGTCTGGCAGCCACAGCAGAAGCAGCAGTGTGTGAGAGAAAGTGCTCCAGGGCCAAGCAGAAGCCCCTCTGTGGGTGGCTGAGTCTGTGGGTGACTGAGTCACCCCCAGGACACCTGCCTGGGCCAGGAGGGGTGTGAGCTGCTGCCTGCCAGAGACCGACTCTGGCTCAGTCTGTGGGAACAGCCCAGCCAGGGAGCCTGTTGACCTGACTCTTGGCCAGGGGAGAAGCTTATGGGGTGAGGGCCAAAGCCTTTGCCACAAAGGAGTTATTTCAAACACCAGCAGGGGGGGCACAGGAAGGGGGCCAGGAATACTCTCCAGCTCACCCTATAAGGACCAACAGCCACAGGTTGCTCCCCATCCACCTCATTAAGGCTGTGGGTATTTTTGTCCCAGGGGTCCACCGCATGGCCTGTGCCCAAGTAAGAGACCCTCCTCACCTCCATGGTCTGCTGGTAGTTGAGTGAGGCCTGCAGCTGCTCCTCCAGGCGGGTCTGGCGTTCGCCCCACACCTTGCTCAGGCTGTTCCAAGAAGAGTAGAGCTGCAGAGAGAGGAGTGAGAGAAATATGGGAGGGGGGGTTAAGCTGCAGGGTTTTGGGAGGCCAGCCCCCGTAGGGTCTTTCACATTTGGTGGGCCAACATCACACAGGGACCCCGTGCCAGGCTGGCACCCTGTGCCCAAATGCATCCCATAAAGTGCACCCATTTGTGCTTGTGTCCTCTGTATTTACACCCCCCCATCCCCTGGGATTTGGTACAGAGGCAGCTGTAGATTTTACAGCCAAATGACAAATGCATGTTTTGGTAGGCAAGCACAGGGCGGCTACACAGAGAGTTCTTAAACTTCCTAGAGAGGACCCTCCGTGTGTGATGGGTTCTTTTGCCTCCTTTGGGTGGGAATTCTGTAACAAAGGAGTTAATTCCTTGCACGTCCTTCCACCTTTGAGGAGACTCTCTCTCTCTCTGCTAAGCAGACCTGTGTCTGGGGGCTCCAGACACCCTACTGGGAGACTATCAACTTTCTTTTACAGGCAGTTCCTCATTTACATGGGGGCTGCGTTCCAAGGCACCACGTGCTTACATGCAATTGCATATAAATGGAACACCCGTCGGAACACCCATTGAAAAAGCCTGAAAACACCCCATTCCACCTCATTCTGCCCCTTTTTGTGACATTTTTTGTGATGTTTGAGGATCGCTTTTGGGTTCAGCACAGTGCACGTATGTGTGGTCATGTCCATATTTGTGTAAATGGGGAGTTGCCTGTATTGTAACTTAAAAATGATTTTTTTGCATACTACTTTGCTGTATTTGCTGCCTGCATTGAAATGTAAGTAAAAAATAATAATTCTGTTTAGCTTACTAAAAAGGTGTGGTTCATAATGTGCAATGGGGTTGAGGGGGGAAGGACTGCAGACCACCAATAAAAGGGGATTCCTAATTCCTAAGTTTTAGTAAGCTGTAAATATATAACTGTTTTTACTTTGCTAAAAAAGCTTCACAGCCCGCTAACCTTTCGTATTTCTCCCACACATGTGGGATAGGAGATTTAAATTCTAATCTACAGATTTAATCCTCAATCCATCTCTTACAGTGGCCACCACATGTCCAGCTCAGCTTTGCTTTCTCATCCATCCAGGCTGCTCTTGGCAGCCCTTCTAGGGTGCACAGGGTCAGTTCTTGCTGGGGGGAAGCTGCCAGTCAGTGCACGCAACACAGAGGGAAATGGACCGGTGGGCAGGCTCAGGAGGAGGAAGCTTCCTATGTGCCTAGGCCAACAATGGGGCAATGGGGCTGCCCCTTGGCAAATGGCCCACACTGCCCGTACCCTGTGGGGTTTCCCTGCCTTAGATGGGTCCCTCCCCAGCTCACATCATCTAGGCTCTTGGTGACGTCCGGTTTGTCCAGATCTCCACAGGACGACATCAGCTCCATGCCCAGGACGCCCAGGGAGTCCAGCTCGCTCTGCAGGGAGTCGATCTCTTCTCGCAGGGCCTGGAGGGAGAAGGGGTGATGGGGTCAAGGTCCCGCCTCTGAAGCCAGCCCCAGGAGGCCTCCTCACACACAGAAGCTGCAGCACGGCAAAAGCTGAATCACTGCCGGCGGGAGCTGGGAGCCGGACACAGGGCAAAGCCAACGGGGCAGGTGGGCGGGGGCCATGGGAACACCTCCCCTGCCTGCAGTTCCCAGGATCCCTCTGGGAGAAGGAGCCTGGTGGGGGCTGATGCAGGAGATGGTTGCTGAGCAATGTCCTGGTACCTGCATGGCCCCAAGCCTGGCCTGGGTGGCCGTGGGGTCCGAGGCAGCCTCCTCCGGCTCCAGCACCACCTGCTGGATGTCTCCCAGGGTGGCGGCCAGGTCCGAGAAGCCCTGCCAGAAGCGGTCGGCCAGCACCAGCAGGCCCTGCAGCCAGTTCTCCCGCTCCTCGCTCTGCTCCCAAAGCGCCTTCCACTGGCTCAGCAGCTGCTCCACACGCTCCTGGATCCCTGTCCGCAGCAAGGGGGGAAGGCCAAAAGAGAGGGGTCCTGGGGGCGGCAAACCGGCCTCCCCCGCCCCAAACAGGAGAGGGGCTCATGCCCTCTAGACCACCCAGATTTGTGGCCCACAGGGATCCTGCTGTGCTCAGGGCAATGGCCTCTAAATGGGGGAGCAGGAAGGAGGAGACCCAGAGGCTCTGGCCAGCCCCACAGCGGGGCCAGCTGCTTGGAAGAGGGGTTTCTGCGTCTGGCGCTGGGGAAGGGGCCGTGCCTACCTCTGTTTCCGCTCGCCTGCATGGTGGCCAGCAGCTCAGCCCCCTGCCCGCGGAGGGTCTCCAGAGCCACTCCCAGCTTCTCCAGCTCCGCCAGCCGGAGGCCGTTCTCCCGGATCTGCTCCCGGAGCCAGGCGGAGTCTCCCCGCACCCCAGGGGGGTCCCTCGCGCGGCTCTGCAGCCTCTCCAGGCTCTCCACCATCAGCTCCATGCGCTCCGACAGCTGCAAGCAGGGGCACAGCAGAGGGTTGGCCCAGCCCCACAGGCAGCCGCCGGCCTCCCACTGACCCACCCAGAGTGGGCCGCGCACAGCTGGAAGGGAGCCGACAGCATCCGAGGCTCTGGGGAAACTGAGGCACATGAGTGGGAGAGCCCTGCAGGAGTTGGAGCCTGGCAGCACCTTCAGCCCCAGAGCGCCTGTGGGTCTCCATGGGGGTCAAGAGAAGGCCTGTGGCCCTTATGGCTGAAAATGGGTCCGCCCTAATGTCCCAACGGGAGCCATAGCATTGGCCTGGCTGCAGCAGCCCCAGCCAGCCTCTCCGGGCCTCATCCAGCCCAGACGCTGGTTGATGGCATCTCCTTGCCATGAAGAGACGCCAGGCCTGGATCCCCCGTGGGAGGGGGGCCCCTCCAAGCACACCATGCAGGCAGAGGAAGGAGGTGAAGCCATCCAAGTCATCTCACGGTTTGCCGCCCAGATAACTCACCTGTCCGTTTACACTGGACTGAGATTGTGCCTAGTACATCTCGCCCCGTGGATTTGTTAGCTTAGGGGAAAACCCTTTGTATCTGCATTGCTTCAGAAGTATAATGTGACCTAAGCCAGCCGGGGGGAGGAGAGGGGAGGGTGTCAGACTGGGACAGAGCAGGGTTCGAATCCTCCCACCTGGCCACGAAGCTGACTGGGTGGCCTTGGTTGAGTCTAGTTTGGTTTCAGCTTGTGGGGTTAAAATGAAGAGGAGAACCATGTGCCCCACGGTGGACCCCTTGGGATGGAAAGGCAACAAACAAACGAAAAGCTTTCACAACTCAGCTTCCTGGGTGCTCACTTGGCCGAAGCCGGACGTTGCTGCTGTGTGAGGCCAGAGGTGCCGGCCTGTCGGGGCAGCAGGGAAGTGGCTGGCCCAGGTCTGTTCCCACCCCCCACCGCTGCCATGCCTTGTTAGGATATAGTTCCGTTCCACCTTTAGAACAGGCATGTGGAGTTGTGGTATGTCACATGTCTGTTTACTTCCAGCATAGTTTGCTGGGCACTTCCGTTGTATCTATATATGCTTTCCCCTCTGCTGTTTGCTTGGACACGAAGGGAAGCAGACATGTTTTCCCTTTGTTCTAATGCTGAATAAGCGCTTGTAAATATGCTTACATATGCCTCTGTCCGCTACTTCTGCTGCAAAGAGTTCTTATCTCTGCTGGCTTGTATGCTCAGTATCTAAAGGTCTCTGAGGCTTGAGTCGCAGTTTTGATGCTGTTCCAAGAACCGAAGTTCGCCCGGCTGCCAGCCGGCGGGCTGGAGCCAGCTGGGGGCCTGCCAATTGCCCCCGTCTCCCAGGACACGTCCTAACAGCCTGCTGCCCCAGAGACCATCCGGCTGCTCACCTGGCTGTATCGCGGGATGGCCTCCTCCAGCACAGCCGCCGCCTGGCGAACCCTTTCCCGGATGCTTCCGTACTGCTCCTCCGCCGCCCGCCAGCCCTGCTGGAAGGGGGCAGCCTCCTGTGGACTGAGCTCAGCCAGCTGCCCCGACAGCCGTTGCAGCTTGGACACCAGGGGCTTGTGCTCTGCAATGGCCTCTCGGAGACCCTGTGCCAGGCCGGGAGAGAGAAGCGGTGAGGACAGAGGACCCTCAGCCTCCCCTGGCACCCTCAGCCCCCCCTCCAGTCTCCCTCGACCCCCCCCCTCACCTGCAGCAGCTCCTGGTGCTCCCGGAAGGCCTCGCAGCTGATGCCGTCGGGGGAGAACTGCCCCACTGCCCGCTGCGTCTCCTCCAGCCACGGGCACAGCTCCTCACGGGCTTCAGCAAACTGCACCAGCAGAGACTGGGCACGCTCCAGGCGCAGGGTGCAGGCCAGGCTCTGGCGCAGGAGGTGCTCCGAGCGCTCCTGCAGGGGCCGGACTGAGGGCTGTGGGGCAAACGAGGCATCAAGGGGGGTCAGATTGGAGGACAGGGAGGGCACCCCCCACCTGAGGCATGGCCAGTCTTTCTCAGATCAGGCTCTGCAGTTCTGTTGATGGGAGGGGGAAGGAAAAAAGGCCCCCACATTGTCTCCACCCACCCCTGACCCAGGCCTCTTAGCCAGCCCTCTGTTTTTAAGCAAAAGGGCAAGCATCAAAAATCTTTGGCTTTTAGGTGCTCTAAAAAGGTGCTCTGCAGACAAACTGGAACCGGCTCCCAACTTGCCTCCCTTAATGGAGTGGCATTGGAAGGCAAGCAAAAGGGTTAGAGCCCCTCCACTGACACCCAGTGGCTGAAAGGGGTATTGCAAGTCAAGAGAGCCTCCCCACCCCACTGGCCTCACCTGGAGCTGCTGTTGCACTTCTGGGGGGCAGAGGCTGAGCAGTGGGTCAGCGATGGCCACCAGCCGTTCCACAAGGCCGTGGTGGTGCAAGATCTCCGCCGACAGGAGCTGGGAGGTGGGGAGAGTCATCATCAAGACTGGGCCTTGCGTTTTGCCAGGGCAGGGTTGCCCCCAGAGTGGCCCTGGGGAGAGCAGGGGGGTCCTTGGCCCCTGGCGGAGCTCCTGCGTGCAGGGCAGGCCTCTCCCTCCCCCTGGACGCCATCCCCATCGGAGGTGCCCTGCCTGGCCACTGCTGGTGAGACACCTTCTTCTTCTTTGGTGATCCCTCGTAACTGAGTAAGATTGTCATCCATTAACATGGTTTTAACAGTGAGTCTGTAAGAGACTGTGGAGGCAATTCTGGATCCACACGTCCTTCCACAGTGGGAGTTGATCACGGTATGGATTTGCCAAGTGTGCCTTCCTCTTAGCACGTTTCTCCCTTGCGTCCTGAGTTCGAGTGCCTTCAAAGTCCATGAAACCTTTGGTAAAGGCTGTTCTCCAACTGGAGCGCTCGCAGGCCAGTGTTTCCCAGTTGTCGGTGTTTGTACTACATTTTTTTATATTTGCCTTGAGACAGTCTTTAAACCTCTTTTGTTGAGACACCAAGCCCTGAGCAGCTGCCGCACGGGGGCGGAAGGCTTAGCTGTTAGACCCCTCCTCCCATAGTCAGCTGGGGGCCACAGGGAGGAAGGGAGAGTCAATGGGGAGAAGGAGGAGGAGCCCAGTCCCTCCAGTGCTCCACTGGCCTGCTCAGCTCCCAAGACCAGAGGCACTGTGGCAACACCCTAGGTGCTGGCCTCGTGGAGAGGCTCCTAAGGGTGCCCCTGCAGGACTGGGCTGCCCCCGGGCAGGGATCCACCTGCTGCTCCCAGCCAACCCTCCCTCCCTCCCTCTCCCCAAACACCCACCTTCAGATCAGCCAGCTGCTGCTGGATGGCCTCCGCTTCCAGGTGCACCTGGCCCAGCTCCTCCAGGTGTGTGCTCAGGTGGGACACCTTGTCCATCTCGGAGCCCAGCACCTGCTCAAACTGAGACCGAAGAGAGGGCCTTTGGGATGAGGGCGCAGACAGACCACTCTGGGCAGGGACAGAGGGCAAGAAGACTCAAGGTGGTTCCCTTCTCTGCCCACAGTGGGGGTGGGGGTTACAGGTGAGACATGTCCTTCTTCTCTTCCAGAAGTTCTCCTCCTCCTCCTCCAAGGAAGATCTGGCAGCTCAGCAGCAGAGAGTGAGGAGGCAAGTCAGGTGTCCCCTGGGGAAGCGCTCCTGGCCTACCCCAAATATCTTGCCTTAGGGCAACAGGCCCTCTGTGTCCATGACCTCCTCACATGGCATTGCAGGGAGTTGGACAGGATGAGCCTTGGGGTCAACGCTGCAGTTCTATGACTCCTTCCCTGAAGTGCCCATTACCTTCTCTCTGTCTGCAGCACTGAGCTGGTGGGTCCCGTCATCGTCACCCCCTGGCTGGCCCCCCTGCGGCGCCAGCTCCTTCTCCAAGCGCTCCAGCCACAGGGCCAGATCCTCCTCGGTGGGGCCCAGCCGGCAGGAGGCCTCCAGGGTCTGCTCCAGGCGGTGCAGGATGGCAGAGCTGCTCTGGCCCACGAGGAGGAACCTCATCCGCAGGGAGTCCATCTTCTCCTGAGCCAGATGGGCTTCCTCTCCTGGGGGACGACAGCAGCACAAGCTCATTCCCAGGAGCTGCACCCCCCACCCAGCCCCACGACCCCCCGGAGAACCCAGGGCCCATTTCCAGGAACCTAATCCTGGAGGAGCCGAGACGCCAGAGGAGCCATTGGGGCTGCTGGAGGAAAAGCGTTTCCTGCCCCACAGCAGAGCATCCCAAGAAGCTCCGCTGGTCTAATCTGATATCTGCCGTTCGGTGCAGCCAGACTGGTGTGACCCATGCTGGGAGGAGCACTGTTTGTGGGGGGCTTTCCTTCTGATGCTGCCAGGCCCCCCCCAGCTGCCCCCCCAGCCCTGCTCCCCCACAGGGTCATCTCTTGAGGGTGGGTGTTTCGGGGGAGCCCCAAAGTCACTGCCGTCCCCCACTTGCCTGCCACCATCTCCAGAAGCCGCTGCCCGTGCTCCAGAGCCCGTTCCAGGTCAGCCGTCTTGGACCGGATTTCCTCACAGAGGTCCTGGAGGGAGACAGAAGCAGGCAGAATTGGTGCAAAGAGACCCCCCTCCTTCACATGGAAACTCCCCCCTCCAGCTGAGGCCAAGAGGCGACTGAAGCGGCTCTGCTGGTCCTGTGAGGTCTGGAGAGCCTCAGCTTCCTGGAGCACAAGTCCCTCCTGTCTGCCCCATGCCCACTGCAGTGGGGCACTTGGAAGGAGAGGGCTCAGGAACAGGGTGGGCATGAAGGGGGTGAGGAAGCCACTCTTCCAGGGGTCAAGGGGTGGGGGGCTTCTGTCCTCACCACGCCTTCCTCCACCCACCTCCAGTTTACATCTGGCTGCTGCCCGGATCCTTGCAGAAATGCTTCTGTGTCTGTTTGCAAAAGGGGAGTTTGTGGGTCTCCTTGGGACCTGGTCACAGACGTGCAGTCTGGGGGAAAGCCAAACCCCACTGCTCTGACGCAGACTGGCCTCCTTTTTGGATGATATAAATCTCCTCTCCAGACTCCTCATTGTGGCTGGGCTGTATAGACTCACCTTAAAACCTTGGTCACATGCAATGGCTTCTCTGTAATTTGTTTTTTATATTGAATATGCTCTGTGTATGGTTTGTGTAAACAGCCTCGGCCCAGTAGACCTGAAGGAGCGTCTCCACCCCCATCATCCAGCCCGGACACTGAGGTCCAGCTCCGAGGGCCTTCTGGCGGTTCCCTCCCGGCAAGAAGTGAGGTTACAGGGAACCAGGCAGAGGGCCTTCTTGGTGGTGGCGCCCACCCTGTGGAACGCCCTCCCATCAGATGTCAAGGAAATAAACAACTGACTTTTAGAAGACACCTGAAGGCAGCCCTGTTTAGGGAAGTTTTTAAGGATTGATGTTTCATCACTTTACTATTATTATTATTATTATTATTATTATTATTATTATTCTGTTGTGAGCTGCCGAGAGTGGCTGGGGAAACCCAGCCAGATGGGCAGGGTATAAATAATTTTTATTTTTATTTTTATTAATTGTGGGTTTGTCTGTCCATAGCTTTATGGAAAATCAATAAAAAACCAATCAAGAAAAGACCCTGACTTGGGTCTCCTTCCCTCTTGAGGCTCCCAAGGCCACTTCCCCCTCCCAGGCCACCATACCTGGACTTGCTGAAGGGCTCCCTGCGCCTGGCTGAGGCTCCCATTGGCTCTCCACAGCTCAGCCAGCTTCCTCTCTGTGGAGGCCAGCCAGTCCTGGAAAACGTCGACAGACTCCTGGAAGGTGTGGGCTGCAGGAAGGATCCGCTCCAGGGAGCTGTGCCTGTTGGAAGAGAGAAGAGGCAGGGCGGGAAGATGTTGACGGGAACAACCTCCAGCACCAGGCTCACCGGACCCAGGAAGACACACAGCCCTGCGCAAAGGCTGCCTTTCGGCCACAGCAGGCAGCAAGGAGGACCAGCGCCATGAAAAGGCAGGTCCAGGGCTCGTGGCAAGCAGGCCTCCCCCTGCCCTTGTGGCCTGGCTGGTCTGACGGATTGAGCTGCCTCTTCCTTGTGCTTCTGGCACACAAGAAGGGAGCCAAATGCCAGGGCAGGATGGAACAGTGGTGTTCCAGGAAGGCTCCACGTGGGGAGGCAGAAGGTGCCAAGGACTTCTGAGACTTGGCTGAGGACAGGAAGGAAGAGCTCAGAGGTGAAGCTGCTTTGGATAAGAAGTTTAACTCCAGTCCGCTTCCCAGACAAAGCGGGGGGGGGGGCGGCTGAGCACCAGGGGAGAGCCCTCCCTCACATCCACCTCTTTGCACAAGGAAGGGGCACTAGGCTTTGACTTGCAGCAAATGGTCCCCAGAGCTGCCTCATCCCTTTGTCGTGCAATTTCACACCCACCATCACCCATATGGGGTGCATGTGCCCCACACCAGGCTCACAAGACTCTCACAAGAGAGCAAAACTGAGGGCATGTTTAGGCCTTAGCTGACCTCAGAAACCCCTCCTCTCCCAAAGTAGGACATCCTTTCTGAGCCTCCCCTCTGTGAAACTGGTTTAACAAGTATTGATAAGTTTCCAAGCAGAGGAGCAGATATCTTTGCATGAGTGAAGCAGGTCTGTGTCAACGGATTCTGGAGTCAATGTTGGAAAACATGAACTCTGAGCAGGATCTGATTTACATCTGCAACCCATTTTGTGATGTATCTGTGGTTTTTTTGGGGTGGTCTTTCTTTAAAGGGGAGACGAATACTTTATGAGGTTTTAAAAGATGCTACACACCTTTGCTTCTCAACTCCCTTGCATTTGGTTGGGGGGAGAGACTCTGTTTGCAAATGGACCAATAAAGAAAAGCCAGCCTTGTGGATTTCCAGGAGAGGAAATGGCAGGTTGACCGTCTTTCTGTTGGCTCTCTGCTGACAGAAGATAATTACGTGGTGATGGATGGTAATCAGATTGAAGTTCTGGCTATCAGATCACTCTGGGATAAAGAGGGATTGAGGGAGTAACCGCAAATGCTCTGGTCAAGGCTGTTCTCTGATGTTGGTGTTTGGGGACTGAGATGGGGGCTACAATGAGTCAAGGTGAGTTGAGGAACCGACATTGTGTCCAAACACCATGTAAGAACCCTTTATGGGTATAAGACCTGCAGCCTCTCTTTGTAAAAAAAATTTGGGATCATCTGTTAATTTAGAGAAATTTCTCTGTCTGCTGATTCTAAAATTTGCAAGAGCTGCTTTCTGTCTTTAAGAAGGGAAAGAAAATGGGTCATTAAAGTGTCTAAAGCAGAGTGAAAAGCATGATTTATGGTTGGCAATAAAGATTAAACGAACAAGTCTTTTTCTTCTTAAGCTTGAGCTCTTGGTACAGCAAACTAAATATGACATAATAGGCATCACTGAAACCTGGTGGGATAAGTCCCATGATTGGAATAATGGAGGGATACAATCTATTTCAGAGAAACAGACCAGACAAGAAAGGAGGAGGAGTGGCGTTATATGTCAGGGATGTGTATACCTGTGAAGAGATCCAAGATTTAGAACCTCAAAGCCAAAGTGAGAGCATTTGGGTCAAAATCAAGGGAGAGAAGAATAACAGTGACCTCATTGTGGGAGTTTACTATAGATCCCCAAGCCAAACGGAGGACATAGATGATGCCTTCCTGGAACAGATGGCCAAGCATGCAAAAGGAAGGGAGATAGTAGTAATGGGGGACTTCAATTACCCGGATATTTGTTGGATGTCAAACTCAGCCAAGAGCATAAGGTCAAACAGATTCCTCACTGGCCTTGCAGACAACTTCATTGTCCAGAAAGTGGGAGAAGCAACAAGAGGAACAGCCATTTTAGATCTGGTCCTAACCAATGTTGATGACCTGGTTAGTGGGGTAGAAGTGGAAGGATCATTAGGCGCGAGTGATCGTGCTCTTCTGAAGTTTACTATACAGCGGAAAGGAGCAGCCAAGCATACTAGGACTCAATTTCTTGACTTTAAGAAAGCCGACTTCATAAAACTTAGGGAAGTGCTGGGTGAGATCCCATGGACAGTAATACTAAAAGGAAAGGGAGTTCATGATGGCTGGGAGTTTGTTAAGAGGGAGATAGTAAAAGCACAACTTCAGGCAATACCAATGAGACGGAAACATGGAAGGTGCCTAAAGAAGCCAGGGTGGCTATCTAAAGAACTTTTAACTGAGTTAAGATTAAAAAAGGATGTGTACAAAAATGGAAAAGGGGGGGAAACCACCAAAGAGGAATTCAAACAAATAGCCAGCACGTGTAGACACAAAGTCAGAAAAGCTAAAGCACAGAATGAACTCAGGCTTGCTAGAGAGGTTAAAAGCAACAAAAAGGCTTTTATGGGTATGTTCGTAGCAAAAGGAAGAACAAAGAAACAGTGGGGTCACTCAGAGGAGAAGATGGTGAAATGCAAACAGGGGACACAGAAAGGGCTGAACTCCTCAATGCCTTCTTTGCCTCAGTCTTCTCCGATAAAGAAAACAATGCCCGACCTGAAGAATTTGAAGCAAATGATTCAGCAGAGGAAACACAGCCCAGAATAACTAAGGAGATAGTACAAGAATACTTGGCTAGTTTAGATGTATTCAAGTCTCCAGGGCCAGATGAACTGCATCCAAGAGTATTAAAAGAACTGGCAGATGTGATCTCAGAACCACTGGCAGTCATCTTTGAGAATTCCTGGAGAACAGGCGAAGTCCCGGCAGACTGGAGGAGGGCAAATGTTGTCCCTATTTTCAAAAAGGGGAAAGAGAGGACCCAAATAATTACCGCCCAGTCAGTCTGACATCAATACCAGGGAAGATTCTGGAGCAGATCATTAAGCAAACAGTCTGTGAGCACCTAGAAAGGAATGCTGTGATCACCAATAGTCAGCATGGATTTCTGAAAAAGAAGTCATGTCAGACTAACCTGATCTCGTTTTTGACAGAATTACAAGCCTGGTAGATGAAGGGAACGCAGTGGATGTAGCCTACCTTGATTTCAGCAAGGCATTTGACAAGGTGCTCCATGATATTCTTGTAAAGAAGCTGGTAAAATGCGGTCTTGACTATGCTACCACTCAGTGGATTTGTAACTGGCTGACTGACCGAACCCAAAGGGTGCTCATCAATGGTTCCTCTTCATCCTGGAGAAGAGTGACTAGTGGGGTGCCACAGGGTTCTGTCTTGGGCCCGGTCTTATTCAACATCTTTATCAACGACTTGGATGATGGACTCAAGGGCATCCTGATCAAATTTGCAGATGACACCAAACTGGGAGGGGTGGCTAACACCCCAGAGGACAGGATCACACTTCAAAACGACCTTGACAGATTAGAGAACTGGGCCAAAACAAACAAGATGAATTTTAACAGGGAGAAATGTAAAGTATTGCACTTGGGCAAACAAAATGAGAGGCACAAATACAAGATGGGTGACACCTGGCTTGAGAGCAGTACATGTGAAAAGGATCTAGGAGTCTTGGTTGACCACAAACTTGACATGAGCCAACAGTGTGACGCGGCAGCTGAAAAAAGCCAATGCAATGCTGGGCTGCATCAATAGGAGTATAGCATCTAGATCAAGGGAAGTAATAGTGCCACTGTATTCTGCTCTGGTCAGACCTCACCTGGAGTACTGTGTCCAGTTCTGGGCACCACAGTTCAAGAAGGACACTGACAAACTGGAACGTGTCCAGAGGAGGGCAACCAAAATGGTCAAAGGCCTGGAAACGATGCCTTATGAGGAACGGCTAAGGGAGCTGGGCATGTTTAGCCTGGAGAAGAGGAGGTTAAGGGGTGATATGATAGCCATGTTCAAATATATAAAAGGATGTCACATAGAGGAGGGAGAAAGGTTGTTTTCTGCTGCTCCAGAGAAGCAGACACGGAGCAATGGATCCAAACTACAAGAAAGAAGATTCCACCTAAACATTAGGAAGAACTTCCTGACAGTAAGAGCTGTTCGACAGTGGAATTTGCTGCCAAGGAGTGTGGTGGAGTCTCCTTCTTTGGAGGTCTTTAAGCAGAGGCTTGACAACCATATGTCAGGAGTGCTCTGATGGTGTTTCCTGCTTGGCAGGGGGTTGGACTCGATGGCCCTTGGGGTCTCTTCCAACTCTAGGATTCTATGATTCTTCTTTCGAAAATGAATGTTGCTGGGAAACTGAAAGTAATTCAGCCATTATTTCCTCTGTGGGAAAATATTATTGTTGTGACTGTGATCTTAAGGCAAAAAATTTAAGGTAGAGTCGGGACTTATAAAGAGGCTGAGTTGTTAATAACATCAAACACATCCAGCGTGGCAAAGATACCTTTGGATATCCCAGTGACTGTTGGTATTGTTCAATAGTTGATGGCCAAACAACTAAAAATGATCAGATCAGCATTTGATGAAAGGGGGAAAGAAATGAATCAGAGAGATATGAAGTGAAAAACGGAGAACACCTATGAAAAGCTGGCAGGACTGGATGATGTTGAAACAAAATTGGAGAAAGCAGATGGTGAAATGGAAATGCCTTTGATACTGAGAGCATTTGCAGATGACTTAGTATTGACGTTACAGGAGCCAGAATCTAGTACAAAAAGGGTTTTAGAACTGATTCAAGAATTTGGTCAAGTGGCAGGATTTAAATTGAACAAATCAAAAACCAAGGTTTTAGAGAAAAATTTAACACCGTTTGAAAGAGAGAGGTTTCAGAATGAGACAGGGTTAACAGTGGTTAAGAAAGTTAAATACCTGGGGATTAACATGACAGCAAAAAATGGGAATTTATTTAAAGATAATTATGAAAAATGTTGGTCAGAAGTGAAAAAGATTTAGAAATTTGGTCAAACTTGAAGCTTTCACTGCTAGGCCGTATTGCTGCGATAAAAATGAATGTATTGCCTAGAATGTTGTTTTTGTTTCAAACTTTGCAGATTGTGGACAAAATGGACTGTTTCAAGAGGTGGGAGAAAGATATTTCTAAATTTGTCTGGCAGGGCAAGAAACCTAGAATAAAATTTAAAATACTAACAGATGCAAAGGAAAGAGGTGGATTTGCCCTGCCAGACCTCAAACTTTATTATGAATCAGCAGCTTTTTGCTGGTTGAAAGAATGGCTACTTCTTGAAAACACTGACATTTTGGATTTGGAAGGTTTCAATAATGTATTTGGATGGCATGCATATTTATGGTATGATAAGGTCAAAGCACACAAAGCATTTAAAAACCACATTGTCAGGAAAGCATTATTTAATGTTTGGATTAGATATAAGGATTTGCTAGAAAATAAAACCCCAAGGTGGCTGTCACCAATGGAAGCGAAAGCCTTGAAAAGGGTCAATATGGAGGTCAAATGGCCGAAATATTGGGAAATTTTGGAACAAGACGGAGATAGACTGAAATTGCAGAGTTTTGAAAAACTAAAAACAAAGTGCGAGACTGGCTTCATTATTATCAAATAATGGAGGCATTTAAATTAGACAGGAAAATTGGCTTCCAGGTGGAAAAATCAAAATTAGAAACAGAATTGTTAGAACCCAATACTAAGAATCTGTCAAGAATGTATAACTTGCTGCTGAAATGGAATACTCAAGATGAAACGGTAAAATCGGCTATGATTAAATGGGCACAGGACGTAGGACATAACATTATGTTTGCTGACTGGGAACAGTTATGGACCACTGGTATGAAATTTACGGCATGTAATGCCTTAAGAGAGAATATTATGAAAATGATATACAGGTGGTACATAACCCCAGCCAAGCTTGCGAAAATCTATCACTTGCCCGATAACAAATGTTGGAAATGTAAAGAAACTGAAGGTACATTTTTTCACCTTTGGTGGACGTGCCCAAAGATTAAGGCTTTCTGGGAAATGATATATAATGAATTAAAAAAGGTATTTAAGTATACCTTCCCCAAGAAACCAGAGGCCTTTCTCCTGGGCATAGTGGGCCAAATGGTGTTAAAAAAGGATAGAACTTTCTTTATGTATGCAACAACAGCAGCAAGAATACTCATCGCAAAGTATTGGAAGACACAAGAACTTCCCACGCTGGAGGAATGGCAGATGAAACTTATGGACTATATGGAATTGGCGGAAATGACTGGCAGAATCCGTGACCAGGGAGAAGAGTCGATGGAGGAAGACTGGAAGAAATTCAAAGACTATCTTCAGAAACACTGCAAAATTAAGGAATGTTAGAGTGATGTTGGATTGAAAATAAGTGGTTTCCAGCTGTACAGGTTAAAGTTAAGGATAGATTAAGATTAAAGATCAAGATTAAAGATGTTTAAAGAAATGGAAATTTGATAATAAAAGGGAAAAATTTAAAGGTATATGACATTAAGAACAAGGATTATGTTTAAAAAGTTGAAGCTATATATTTTAATATTTTATTAAATTAAAGATTGGGTTTAAAAAAGTGGAAAAGAAACTGCTGGACAAATAATGCAGATTGGAATACAAAAGAGGGAGGTATGAGGAAGTCCAGAAAATAAGTAATTTAAAACTGGGAATGGAAAAGAGAGTTTGTTTTTAATTGTTATGTTTTGTGTTTTTATTGTTAAATTTTGTATTTTTTTGTGTGTGTGTTGTTTTTCTTTTTTCTTCGTTTAAAACCTTAATAAAAAATTATTTAAAAAAAAAAAAAAAGGAAATGCCTTTGATACAAGGACTTGGGAGGAGAAGGGGAAGATAAAATGATCTGAATTTGGCATTGATGGAGCTCAGAAGCGGAAAAGCCTTCAGTCCTAGCTCTTTCCTCAGTTCTAGCAGAGAGAAAGCATTCTGAATACAACTTGGAGCGAATTCAGAGAATGATGCTACTAAATTAATAGTTCTCTCTCTGGAAAAAGGATAGGAAGAAAGGTAAATGAAAATCCTAGAGGAGGAGAATGCTATGGTAAACACAACAGGAAGTGGAAATTGAGTTTATTGAACTGGGCATGAATTTAAGGATATGTAACAAGAAATGAATTATGGAATATTATTTCAATATGTGTTCCCAGTGGAAAGGTTTTATCATGGGCAAGGATAGAATAATTGACTATTAATATGGAGGCATGTTGGTGGGAATTATTGGAGGTAAAGTTGATATTTAAAGAAAAAACGTAAGTGGATATTTACTACTACTAACAATAATTTGGGAATCCCTCTTTTTTGGGGGAAAAGGAAATGAATCATTTTTTAAAAAACGTGGACCTCAAAGAAATATTGTTTAACAGAATGTTGTAATGTTATTTAATTTTATGTAACCAGCAGATGGAAAATTGGAACTCCTTTTTATCTTTCTCTCTTGCTTTCTCTTTTTCCCTTTCCCTTTCCTTCTTCCTGCTTCCTTCTCTTTCTCTCCCCCCCCCATAGCTGTTTTTTTCCCCTGGTTTTAAAAATTTGCATTAGTTTTCTATATCTTTCTGTATTATGAAAAGCTTTAATAAAAACCTTAATGCAAAAAAGAAAAGCCAGCCTTGATTTCTACTATGTGGCCTTGCCTCTGTTTTTGTTCATTTCTCTGACTGACAAAGTGATGTTGTGCGTGAGGGGAGAATTGCACCAATGCCCCCCTTGGATTGCCTGCTTTGCCCTTTCACACTGCCCTCCCCATCAGACCCGGACCTGCTTTCCTGAACGCCTCTCTCCCTGCCTTCAAATCTCTTCCCCAAACCCACATTTTCTATGGTGCCTTTGGCACAACCCCTGAGCCCCACCAAGGGCCTCTCCCCCTCTAGGGACTCACCTGGCTTCTGCCCCCTGGATTAGCGCCTGCCACTTCTCCTGGAGGCTGGCAAGGCCTCCGTCCTTTCCGTGCCCGTCTGTGGTGCCAGGGGGCTCAGAGGGTGCCCGTCTCTCCTGCAGAAGACCCTCCACATGGGACCTGCGCTCGTCCAGAAGGCGCCTTAGAAGCTGTTTGGGGTCAGAGAAGGTAGAGGGTGATGCCAAGCTCCCTTCATGGACACGCTCCAAGGGGGGAGGACAACCGAGTCTGGCACCGCCTTGGGTGCAAAAGAAGCTGGCCTGCTCCACTCCAAGGGTTGGGAGGAACTTTTCCATTTAATAAGAACCCGGATCAGTCCAAAGAAGACCCATCAAGCCAATTTCGCTTTGTTTCCAACAGCCCTTCTCCATGGCCTGGTATTTAAGGGTAGACTGCCTCTGAACAGGAAGTTTCCACCTGGCTTCCATGGGAAAGGCTGTTTTGAGAAGCGATTCAGAGGCCCCAGGGTGGTCTATTTGGGGAAGAGGTTCTTGGCGTCAGGAGCAGCGAGGGATAAAAGGCAGCAAGTGAGAAGTGGACGGAGAGACGTTTCTCTCCCTCTTGTGTAATACTTGACCTCAACGGGGTCACCCAGTGAAGCTGAATAGTGGGGAATTCAGGACAGACAAAAGAAAGTCCTCCTTCACCCTCCACACAGTCAAATGACCGAATCTGCTCCTTCAAGGTCCAGTGATGGCCAGCAACTCCGGAGGGCATGAGGGGGCCTCAGCGGCTGACCCTGTGTCCCTTCTGGCATCCCTCTTCAGAGAACAGGTTTCCCCCTAACACTTGTTTAATTCTGTCAATTATTTTGTGGTCCAGCCCTTGTGCTTTACAGTTAGCTCTTCCAACACTTTTAAGTAATAACTAATTATTAAATTGTACATTCTAACCTCTCCAGTTTTATCACATGAGAAAAGTAGACCCCTCTCTCTGAGCTTTGCTTCTTGCAGTGAGAATGCAGAGGGCAAGAGGGGTGCAGAGCCCCCCAGAAGACGTTGACCGTGGGACCCCCTCCTCCTCACAAGGCAGGCAGCTGCAGACCCCAAACTGGGCACAGGGACTGGGCAGCTCAGAGGCTGGTAATCCCATGCTGCCAAGTGTGGCTGCTCCCAAGATGGCCAAGTCAGATGTGGGAAGATGATGCCTATTTCTCTGGAAGTGCCCAGGGGGTGGAGAGAGACTCCCAGGCCAGGCCAGGCCAGCCACGCCCCCCTCCTCCCCAAACGCAGGAGAACAAGCTTCTACTTGCACTGTTCATTTAAAACAGAGAGCCAAAGGCTCCTCTGGGGTGGGGTTTCCTTTCTATTCTCCTTCCACAGACCCAGAGGAAACTCTGAGGCCAACTTACAAAAGTGTCCTGCTTTTCACAGAGTCATAGAAATGTGATGTAGGAAGCCCCCACCACCACCACCACAAAGGTCCTCTATGCCAACCCCCAGCAATGCAGGGATCTTGGCTAAAATGGTTACACCAATGCCATCATAGCCACAATCCCCACCTTCACTTGCCACAGATTCACATCCATAAAGGCATCTAGAGGCATCTAATCCACAAAGCACCACATCACATACACCACCCCAAAAACAATGCAGGGAACCCCCTAATAAACATCACACCTTGCAGAAATGTCAGATTTAAGGGGTCAAACTGCCATAACCCCCAGTGTCAAAATCAGTGCACTACAGCGCCCCCTCATGGCCAGGATTGGGAAAGAGAAGGTGATATCACTTGTTTTATGAGTGGGACTGTCCGCTGGCAAATGTAACAACTTGCACAGCAGCATCAACTGACCCTGTTTTGCTAAGAAAATGAAATGCATTGCAAAAAGATTTGTAAGTGATTCATTCTGTTAAATAAACTTGCTAAATCGCACACTGCTGCCATAATCCCCAGAGAGTGAGATGGTTTAGGCAGGGACTCCACCCAGGAAGAGTCAAACAGGATTTCTCCCAAGACAATAACTGTCTCAGTCACAGAAACTGATAAGCTCCCTTGTGATGTTTGCCAGGCTGCCTGGTGAATAGAAGGTGTCCCTTCTGCCAGTCTCCCAAACTGCCACCGGATTGGAACTTGCCAAAACTGAAATATCAAGGCCAAATGTAAATTCTCACGCAGAATGTGTGAGACCAGCAATTCACAAAACGCCTCGGTGGACATGGTGTAATTTTGACCTGTTTGACCAGTTGTAACTCCTCCTAATTTTGTGATGCACCTTTGATGTTTTGTCCATGATCCACTGGCATCTCAGGGGTGGGAAATTACAGAACACCCTTGGGGGGGGGGTTCCTCCTTTCCTGTGTGTTGACTCTCTGTCCCGACAAATAACCTATCAAAGGCACAAGACCTGCTTTGCTTTTGCTTTTTGCCTGCTTCTCTTCTCTCTCTTTTTCGTGCACTGACAGGGGAACTGAGCATCCAGCAAAGCCCAGGGTTTCCCTGGGGTTTCACAACAGAATCAGAGCAAGTGGCAAGCAGGGTTTCTGCATGTTGCTGTTTGCTCCGATTCAGGGGTTAAACGTGAATTTTCCTGGGGGGAACGGCAGGACCAAAAAACAACAACAAAAAAACCCCAACAACCCTTAGACCCGGAAGTGGAAAGCTCAGATCTGAGCCTAGAAAGTGTGGAATCGAGGCAAGTGTGGATGAGCCTTCTGTCTTCTCCACTTCAGGCTGAATTGTGCCCAACTCCCTCCCTCCCTCCCTCCTCATGATTCTTCATTTTGATATTAAAAAATTAAGGTCTTACGTATATAATAAAGGTTCATAAATGTACCAAGCAAAAACGTACATAAATATATAAACCACATGTCTGGGGCAGTGCAGAGGAGCAGCCATGAAGCCCTTTTGACTCCCAAACTGACCAGGTGTTTTCTCTGCAAAGTCAAATGGAAAAGCCTCCCCATTGTCTTTTCCTTCACAAATCCTGTCTTAAGGGTATGTCTGTGTATGAATAGGGTGAGCCTGTGACCTGGCTCAGGAACTAAGTATTTATCATCACAAAAGACTGGCCAGGCTCCCCAGGGTATCCAATCAAGTGAGCATTAAGAGGTAACCTGCCAGACAGGAGATAAACAACGCACTCAGATTTCTGTTGTAGACCGCCCCTTTCTGTGATGTAGGTATGATGTTATGGAGGGGTGGTCTGGAGCTCCAGGGCAGAGAATTTAAAATGTCTGTATAAGGGCTTGCTCACCATTGCTCAGGGTTCTTCTCCCTCCTGCGTGTGGTGAGGACCCTGTTGCAACAGTTCAATAAAGATCAGGCTTACAAGCTGCTTTGCTTCTCAATATTCTCTGTTGGCCTCTGTTATTTTCTCTGACGGATGGGGAACCTACAAAGGACTCTATAAGGGCTCTTGTGTCCCCCATAAGGGAATAAGGGCAGATTTTCGTTTATTAGTTTCCAGGCCCTTTATCATCTTGGGAACCCTCCTCTGCTCCCCAAGGCCTGGCACCCCAAGGTGTGACGACACCCACACGCTGCCTGCGCAAGAGCTCACCTTCTGCTCCTGCAGCTGCGCCTTCACCACTTTGGCTTCGGAGGATGGGGGCTTCTGGTTGGCCATGAGCTCCTCCATGTCGCTGACCCAAGAGAGAAGCTTCCTCAGAGTCACCTGGGCCTGCTCTGCGCCCCACACCTCTCCTAGGAAGGCAGCAGCTGCCTGGGGGAGGGAAGGAGGGTGAGCTCAGAGTGAGGCCAGCAGCAGCTCTGTTTGGGGGAGCCCCAGTCCCACAGCAAAAGCCTCCTGGCACCTGGTGGGAGCATGGAGGTGGCGAGGCAGACTTGCATGACCCCAGCCCCACCTCCTCCTCCTCCAGCCCCCTACCCTGCCCTAGAGCGTGACTGAGCAGGCTCTGCCTCCCTGCCCGGCCCTTACCTTGCTGCTGGGGCTGCTCCACGGCTCCAGAGGGTCCCAGCTCTGGCTGTTCTGGAGCTGCGGGAGAAAACCAGGCACAGGGCAGAGGCTTTGCACCCTCAGACTCAGGAGGGAGGGAGGGGGCCTGCAGCAGCCTGCCCACTAATGTGCACGGGCACACACACACACACACACACACACACACACACACACGGGAGCAGGAGAGCTCAGCTTCAGGGGAACCAGCACCACCAGCTTTGCATGGGGAGGGGGGTCTCCCTCCCCAGGAACTACCTTGGTTGCCTGGCTCAGAGGGTGGCCTTCTGGATACGCAGGGAAGGAGAAGTGTGTGGCGCCGGGGGTGGCTCTGCTGGGGCCCTGCCTGCAGAGATGGATCCAGCCGCCTTCCTGCTGATTGTTGTATCCCAGAGCCCCCACCCGCCCAATGCTGCCCCCAGGCCAGGCACCCCCGGCAGCTTCTGACAACCAGAGCCTCCTCCCCAAGCGACTGGGAAATGGCCCCAAACTGCATGCACCCGGGAGGGGTGTGGAGCAGAAGAACATCAGCTGGCCTCACTGCAGGCACCAACATTTTGGGCAGCAGAGCGACCGGCTCCAGAGTGACTCACCCCACGTGGAGCTGCTCATTTTCCACACTGGTAAAAAAAAAGCTGTACATACATGATCTTCTCTCCGTTATCCACACAACCACCTTGTAAGGCGGACCAGCCTCATTCTATGGACATAAGAACCTAGGTGGAGTCTGCAGGATCAGGCCCCATCTAGCCCAGCATCCTGTTCTTGCAGTGGCCAACCAGATGCCCTGATGGGAAGCCAGCAAGCGGGATCTGAGTGTGAGAGACCTCGCCCCTCACACAGTCTCCAGCAACAGGGATTCGGTAGCACTGGTGCCTCTCTGTGTGTCACAGATGCCCCCCCCAATTCCTCCCAGGGCCAAAGTGGGATCCAGACTAGGGGCCTCCCAGATTCCAGCCCGCTTTCCCAGCCGCCCCCCCCCCTGCGCAGTGCAGCAAAGGGAGTGGAAGCAATGCATGTGTACGTGGGGAGGAATGGGGGCGTCCTGGGCTCCCCCCGCCCCGTCTATTAACCTCTGGCAGGGCTCCTCCTGCGCACTCCGTGAGCACCTTGACCCGCCTGGTGACGGTGGGCTCTTTGCTCCGGTCGCCCCCGGGGTACTCGGTCACCTCCACGATCTCAGTCACAACGGTCTCGGTCACCTCCGTCACCTCCGTCACCTCGGTGGTGGTGAGGGGCTTCCAGACCCAGCCGCTCCCGTGCGCCAGCCCCCGGGGGGGACTCCAGGCAGCCCCCGCCACCGCCGCTGCCGCCTCCAGCTGGGCCTTGAGGGGGTTGCTGCAGCTGAGGGCCCCCCCGTTCTGCACCTTGACGTCCATGTTGTTCTGCTTGGGGAGGGGGCTGCCCTGCTGGCTCTTGCTGGGCGTCGCCACGCTCCAGCCATTCTCGATCACCCGGGGGCTGAGTGGAGGCTTCTCCGGGGGGCCCCCGTGGCCCCCTGCGTTGTTCCTCCTGGAGGGGCGCCCGGACGCCAGGCCCAGGTCCTTGAGGTAGGAGTCCTTCAGGAAGTCGTCCGGCTTCTGGCTTTTCTCCCCCAGGCAGCTGGGTCTGCCCCCCGCGTTGCCCATGGCTGGTGGCTGAGGAGACAGTTCTCAGAGCCTTGCCTGAAACAGAGGAGGAGGAGGAGGAGCAGGAGAAGCCACCTTGCCTGCCCGCGAGCAAGTGGGAGGCCCAGGAGGGCACCCAGAGCAGGCACCATGCCCATCATTGGGGGTTCCTTTTTCAGTCCACAGAGCCACCCAGAAAGTCTTCCAGAATCTTCTTTCTGCTCAATCTGTTGGTGAGTTCCCATGTGGGAATAAGCCCCTCACCCATTCCAGTTCTCCTTCAAGTATTTATTGAAGAATTAACATTACAACTTATGCAACTACAGGTCTAAGGAAATTAAAGAAAAACTATGAGGTTCATTCCTCCTCTCTGCTCTCCAGCCATCTGGGCAGAGTAATGGCCGGACACATTATCTCTTTCACAGCCTGTCTAATAAAGTAGTCCGTTGCTAAGGAAACTCTGTTGCTAGGGGGGAAAGTTGTTGCTATGGGCAAAAGTAGGCAAGCATCATTTCAAGTCTATTTTCGGACCCCCTCAAGACCCAGGCCAGAAATCCAAGCCTCTGAAACCGAACCTCTGAAACCGAACAGAAGTGGGGACCATAGCCAGACCTCTCCCGTAGGATCAAATCCCACCAGAGGATTTTGGAAAAACATTGTCGGGGTTGGACTAGAGGACCCTTTGGGTCCCCCAACTCTTCAGTTCTGTGATTCCACTACATTTACACCCGGACTTTCCTCCAAAGGAGCCCAGGGCGTCAAACGTGCAAATGCTGCAATACCACAAACAGAAATCGCCTCCCTAATCTCTGAGAACCAGGAAACACTTGAGGGGATTAAGCGCTTATGTATTTGGATGAGCCCAGCCAGAAATTAAGCCCAGCGTTTAGGAGGAGCCCAGAAGGTGTCAGCCACTCCTGGGCTTGCTGGGGAACAGGAACGTGGTCCTTGCTGGCAGGGAGCCCTCCTGCACCCTGGTGAGGGTCTCACGGAAGCAAGCTCCCACCCAGGGGGGCTGCACCCATCCTGCCTGCACCCCTGCCCTTCTGGCTCAGGGGAGGCTTGGCCTCTGGGGTGCCAAAGAGAATAAAAGCCACAGGCCGGGAGGCAGAGCCCAAAGGCTGTTTGCCCAAAGCACCCAAGGGTGACTGGGGCTGAAACTCAGTCCCTAATATGGCCTGGGGGGCAGGGAAGGAAGCTGGCGATGGAGGAGCTGCTCCGGGCAGCCGAGCCCTTGGGGGGCCACTCAGCATCTCCTCTGTGGCACAGACCTCCCCAGAGCCAGGGCTCCATCCCAGCGTCCCAATGCAAATGAGGGGGAAGCCAGTGAGACAGACGGACCAGCAGCTGCTGCTAACGGATGCCTCCTTGCCGGGTCCCTGCGCTTAAACCTGGGCAAGCTGGAGCCCAGCGGAAGGAGAAGCCATCTGTCCGCAGAGCCCCCCTGACAAAAGCCTCTGGAGGGGGGCGGTCCAGGGACAAGCAGGGCGTCCGCGCAGCCATCCATCAAGCGGCCCCAGACAGGTGGCTGCCCACAGCCCACCCATCACCCCCCCCGCCTGACAAGGCCATGCTGGGCCAGGAGGAGACAGCGTCCTTGGCAGAGGCGCCACCTGGGGCCACCAGTCGCACACACACAACCCAGCCACCTGCCACTTGAGGAGTCTCAGAACGATGGCAGAGCAGCCCCCCCCCCCCCGGCCATGCCACTGACGGGACCCCCTCTACCTGCTTGCTCCACTGGAGTAAAGGGGAGCAGAGTTGTGGGTGCTGGGAGGGACAGGGGGCAGCAGGGGAAGCCCACAGCTCTGCACCCCCAAGCCTGCTCTTCTGCTGAGCCCACCCGCCAGGTGCCACTGGCTCCTCATGTCCTCTGCCCTCCACCTCAAAAACCCTGCTTCCATTTAGCCTCTTTCTGGTCTGGGCCCCAACTTTTGTCGTGGGGAGGGGCAAGAAGGGATGAGTGACAGGCCCTCAGGCTGCCCCGCAGGGCTGGCGTGGTTACCTTCATGGCGTGGCACGGAAGCTCCCCACAAGGCTGGCGGCAGGTCTGCCACGCGGTCGGTGGCGGGCCAAGGGCACGGCGGCTGCCTCCGCTTCTGCCTTCAGGGGCTCCTCGGCCGCTGCCCCCGGGACGGACGGAGAGGAGCCGTCGGAAGCCCCCGGCGGTGGGGGGACTTGGGCTGAAGTTCCATCGGGAGAGGAGAGCCGGGGCTGCCGGGGTGTCTGGCCCAGGGTCCGGCGTGTCGTGCAGGGAGGAGGCCTTCTCTGGAGCAGCTGCTGGAGGCCAGCTTGGTGGCGGGCGCCCGGCGGCAGCGTGGAGCCCCCTTTGCCCCCTCTCCCAGGGCTCTCCTGGTAGCTGTCAGTCCAGGCCGGAGAAGAAGGATGGATGGAGGGATTGCGGGGTGGATGGGGGGAGCCCTCCCAAGGAGAACTGGCACACGAGGAGGGAGAAGAAGGCACCTCCCAGGAAGCCCCGTGGATCTGGGCCCAGAAGAGCCCCACCAGCAGAGGCAGACTGCCCCGGGGAAATGGAGGCGAGCCCCTCTGGCTGCCTGGCTGCGCAGAGACCCTCCCTCGCTGCCCCCCACCCTCTGCCCCGCTGACCCCCTCAGCACACTCAGGCTAATACAATAAGCCCTCTCGCATTAACTCTTTGCTCGCTGCAAGACAATCGCCGTTACTGGGGAAACGCAACAGGGCTCCCAACTATCCCGGGAGCTGGTGGGGGAGGGGGCAGGCGCCTTTGCCACCGAGGAGGAGGAGAGGAGCTTTTCCCAGAGGAACAGCCCCCCACCAGCAGGACCCCCTCCCCCCCTCACTCGGGTCCAGCCACTGCTGCAACCGCAGCCCCAAGAGCCGGGGGGGGGATGCTCAAGGGTCTGGACAGCTGGTCCTCCGGGGGGCCAGCCTGGGACCCCTCCAGGGTTGTGGGCCTGAGGCTTGATGCTTAACTCAAGGGCAAGTCGGGCAAAGTTGGGGGAAGAGAAAGAAGGAACCCCCTTCACCTCTGAGGCCATCACTGGGCTGACTCTGGAGCCCACAAGTGAAAGAGAAACTCGGGGGGGGGGCGAACCCTCTGGAGAGCAGGAGGAAAGGGAGAGGTTGCTTCCGAGCTGGGGGGTGTGTGGCTCTGACCTCCCCCGCAGTGCAGGTGGCACAAAGCTCGGCTTCTGCCCTGGATGCCAATGCCCTCCCCCCCCAGCCTGGAACCCACTTTGGGGTGGAGGGAAGCTCCACTTTCCCCTTCCTGGTTGCCCCCAGAGCCACAGGGAGGGAGGGCGGGTGCAACCGGGGCTGGCATCATCACCTGTCATGCATGGGTGGGCACCTGCCAGGCTCCTAGCGCTCTCATGGTGCCCACAGCTGGCACCTGCCCTAGGCCAGCTTTCCGTGTCCTCTGTGGCACAGGGGCAGCTGGCTGTCACTGCCCTTCTCATTCCCCACAAGGCTCTTGAGCGCCACTACTTCTGTGGGGCAAATTGAGGTGGCAGGACCGCTGCCCACTCCGCCAGCTTCTCCAAGGGCTGCGCCATGGCTGCTGCTGCTGCTGCCCACCTCCACCAGAGTCTGCCAGGGCCATTGCAGCAGGGAGGCCCACCGGCGGGCACGATGCCCCTTGGCCACCCACGGAAGGGGTTGTGTGTGGTGCCCAGAGCCAGGCGAAGCTGAGGAGCAGGGATGCTGCTCCAAAGGAGCATCGTTGGGTCTTGGGGGTCTCTCTGCACAGCCTCTCAGGCGCCCATGGCACAAGTCCCCTCATGCCCAGAGGGTAGAGAACGAGCGCGCACTTTCAAGGCAACGGGTCCCCCTGCAAAGCAACGACCGGGCTGAGGGGCCTGGTTCTGTCTCTCTGCACACTGCCCCTCTCCACATGCTTGGTCTGGAATCCCCCCTCCCACTGCAATCAATATATTGAAAGATACGCCAGTAAAATGCCCCAAACAGGAGCCTCATTCAAGACGCCGCCAGACCTTTTAAAAAGTGACCCAGAGGCCCCCCCAGCTCAAACCCCCCCCCCCCGGCTGACCCGGCGCCCCTTTGTGGCGCATCTGGGATGATTTGTGCTCAGGAGGGCAAGCTCTGTGTCCTGGGATGGTTTGGCTTCTGCTGCGCGGCAGGGCAAGAGCGCCCCCTCCAGGCGGCAACGAGGAGAAGCAGCACAGCGCGGAAGGTCCGTTTAAGCCGCTGCTTCCATGAAATGCTGCAAAATGCCCTTGCAAAAAGACACCCGCCTGGAGGGGCCACAGCAGCAACTGCAAAGGAGCTCAGTGCTGGGGGAACCCAGCCAGGTGGGAGGGGTATAAATGATAGATGATGGTGACGATGATGATGATGTCCTGGAACTCTGTGCAGCTCAGAGGACTAATTCTGATCAAGGTAACATCTTCCAAGGACACCTCCCCCCACCTTGCCAGGGAAGAAAGGGCCTCTTGCTAGCCCTTCAGATAAAACCACAAGGCAGGAGCAGCCTCCCCCCCCCAAAAAAACCCAACGGTGCTCAAAGTGCCCACAGAGCAGCAGAGAGGAGTCAGTCTAGTCGTGGCTGGGGCAACCCTGTCAGATGGGTGGAGTACAAGTAAGAGAGTAGTAGGAGTAGTAGTAACAACAGACTCCTTCATTGGAGGTTTTAAAGCAGGTGTTGGCTGGCCACCTGTCCCGGATGGGGTGGGGCTGGGTGACCGTCAGGGTCCCTTCCAACTCTACAATTCTATGATATTATTATCATAAAGGCCCTGCCTCTGTGTCCATGCAGAGTGCCTGGCACTGCATGGTTCAGCTGGTGAGAGCCTGGTGCTGAGAATGCCAGGGTTGCTGGTTCGATCCCCATAAGGGACAGCTGCATATTCCTGCGTCGCAGGTGTTGGACTAGATGAGCCTCAGCTCTATGTGGTTCTATGATTCTCTTTTCCCCTTGCAAGGGGGTCTGGCTGAGGGGTCTGGGGGTGTTGTGGGATGAGCTGAGGGTGGCCCTGCTCTCCCTGCTTGGTGTCTCACACACACACACACACACACACACACACACACGCCAGCCGGACCCCTCCCCTCTGGCAGAGAGGAGCCCCCAGCCCAGCCCCTCTGGCCGCAGCCTCAGATCCTGGGAGCCGGGCGGTGGGCTCTCTCCGAGCCCCCCTTTGTCCGGCATGAATGAGCCTTTCAGTTTGTGCCGTCAGGGGTGCGGAGGGAGCCCATGTGCCCAGCAGGAGCAGAACAAAAGGCAGCTGGGGGAAACCCTTTCAGCAGCCTGGCAGCGGCTCAAGACGGAGGGCCTGGGCCTGCCTAGGCGGGGGGGGGTGCACATGCATGTGCGGCCAGGAGTGAACCGCCACACACACCCATTAACCCCTTGTACGCTGCGCTGCTGCCCACACGGGGATACCAAGGGGGAGGCCAAAGGAAGGAGGGAGGCACCTCCCGGCCCCCCAAGCTGCCTGTGTGTTGCTGAGGCCTCTTTGCAAGGCTGAGGTGAGCCAGGCTGTGTAAGGAAGGGCCTACAAATGCCAGAGGGCATCATGTGCCACACGCCAACTGGGAACACAGGCCAGGTCACAGCGCAAACCCCAGAACAACATGAGCACCAGGCAGTAAAACACTGGGGGCACAAAGTGACACAGGGGCAGGTTCTCCCCCCGCCCAAAAAATCCTACACTTGCCGTCCTCAGACACCTTGAGTTGCACAGGGATGTGGGCCACCAGGGCTGTGCCCTCCAGGGCTGGCACTTTCACCATGTTGGGCAGGACGAGGTGAGTCAGCCACGATCCAGCTCATTGCTGGCTGCAAAATGCACCTAAGTGAAGGCAGGGGGGCACCCAGTGGGGGGAGAGCTCATCAAGGAGATTCAGCATCTGGTTGGTCCCTGTGAGAACAGGAGACTGGACTAGGGGGACCCCTGGCCGGATCCTGCAGGCACTTTTTAGGTATGTGAAACTTAAGTGCTGGTGGTTTAGGTTTTCCAAATTTCCTTCTTTCCATGCAAGTTGGTATCTTGCCAAGAATGCAGAAGAGAAGGAATCTTTTAAGGTACATAGCTGTGATTGGACATCCTATGCACTTTTAAAATGGGGGGGGGCTGCGGGGGCGGTTATTGGGTTGTTGTTTTTATTTTGATTATGTAGTTTGCAGTTTTATATTTTGATTTTTATTCTGTGAACCGCCCTGAGACCTCCGGGTATAGGGAGGTATACAAATTCTAATAATAATAATATGATCGAGCAAGCTCAGCTCCTGGGAAACTCAGCTCACGCAAACCAGAAAGCCTCAATAAAGCAGGACCTGGTGCTGACCGGGGCAACCTGGAAGCTGTTGCCTCAAGCTGAGGAGCCCGTTCTGGTGGGGCTGAGAAGCCTAGTGGTGCCCCCCCATCCCCATTACCTCTGTGGCAGAGTCCCGCTCAGGGAGGCCCGGCAGCCTCTTCTCCAGGGCGTCCAGCCAGTGGCACAGGGAGAGCAGCTGCTCCCGCATGTCTGGGCTGCGCTCTTTCCAGTCGCCCCTCAGCCAGGCCCTGGGAGCAGAAGCAGAGTCAGACCCCACCATGGCAAGGAGGCCGCCTCGCCTTCTGCCCAGTGCCCAGTGGCCACAGAGGGCACTTGCAGCTGGGCCAACCATGGCTTCCTCTTTACCTCTTCCTCAATGCTCCATGGGACATAGCGGGCAAGGCACATAGCCCCCACCTCTGAGCAGGGGGCTGAGCTCAGCTTTGGGATATTCTGGCTGGCAGGAAAAGGCTGGGCAGTGCCCCACATGCCACCCAGTGCTCCAGCTGTGCCAAGCAGCCCCTGGCCAAAAATATTATATATATATAGATATGGTGCTTCTATCCCTATGTGCCCCACCTTTGACATGCCTCCTCAAGGAGGCCACTGGCTGAGTCCATGTCCCTGAAGCCTCCCTCCACACAGGCGAGCAGCGAGAACGACGCCACTTCTCCCTTAATAAAAGTGTTTGTGGCTGTCTCAGGGACTGTGTCCTCCCCTAAGCCTCAGGGGGATCCTGGGGAAAGCAAGTGGATCTTGCAGGGATGGGAGGAGCTGTGCTGCTTGCTGGGTCGTGGTGCATGTGGGGATCCAATGCTGGATGATTCAGGACAGAGAAAAGGAAGTACTTTTTCACACAGTGCAGAGTTAACCTGTGGAACTCCTTTCCACAGGAGGCTGGGATGGCCACCAACCTGGATGGCTTTAAAAGAGGATGAGCAAATTCATGAAGGAGGAGGCGGCAGTCGATGGCTCCTAGCCTCCCAGCCCTGATGGCTCTGCTGGGCTTCCACAGTTGGGGCCAGCAATGCTGAATCCCAGCAGGCGGAAGGGGCTCTTGTGCTTGGATGCTGCTTGCAAGCTTCCCTTGGGGGCAACTGCATGGCCACTGGGAGAACAGGAGGCTGGCCTAGTTGGGCCATTGGCCGGATCCTGCAGACTGGCTCTTTGGAAGTTCTATCCCAGGCACCCCCAACCTTTGGCCCTCCAGATGTTTTGGCCTACAACTCCCATGATCCCTAGCTAACAGGACCAGTGGTCAGGGATGATGGGGATTGTGGTCCAAGACATCTGGAGGGCCGCAGGTTCTATCCCTTCTGGTCAGTTCAAGAGGGAAAGAGGAGCAGGGACTGGAGCACAGCCGGCCTCCTGCTCAAGACAGTGGAAACATGAACAGGCTTTGCTCTCTGACTTCCTGGGGACACTTTAGGACGCCCCTCCCACCACGTGACACCTGGCTCAATCGGCTCAGTGGCTTTCCATGAAATGGCTGCTTGAATGTTGGAGCAATCAGGGTCAACCTGTAAGCTCTGCTCGTAAGGGAAGATTAAAGGAAAACATTTAACAGCCGGCAAAGGGGTTTCGAGGTGGACTTGGCACAGAGGCCAGCCGGAAAAAGCCTTTGCAGTGGATGGGAAAGGCAGGCTAACAAGGAGGACGAGTTGCAGAAGAACATAAGAAACTATCCAAGTTGGTGGCCATCACTGTGGCAGCGAGTTCCGCGGTTAAACTCTGCCCTGCTTAAAGAAGCTCTTTTTCCCCTCTCTCCTGTATCTCCAGCACCCATTTTTCTTGGACGACCACCCAGGTGTTATGAAAGAGGGAGGGCAGTTTTCCTCTCTCCGCTTTCTCCAGACCAGGACTAATTCTATACCCTTCTGACGTGTTGCCTCTTACTCGACTTCTCTCTTGACTAAAAAGCACCTTTTTTTCCAGAGAGCTCCCAGCGCCTCAGCTGGGGATGTGGGCCCAGAGGGTGGCTTTGTCCCCTTTGGGGAAAAGGCTCTGCTTTGGCTTTGAGGCTGGAAACCGACCAGGCGGCCAGGAGCCCCTTCCTTCCCCCTCGGCTGTTTGGCATGGAAGGACGCCAAGGGCAAGCTGGCAGGGCTTTAATCTGATGTAAAGGGCAGCTTCCACTTCATTGAAGGCATTCTCGGAGCAGGCTGGGAGTGCCCTCACCAGATGCCACAGCAGGCAGCTCATGGCACAGCCTTAGCGCTCGCTGGAGCAGCACCAGCTTCACACTCACAAGCCGCAAGACGTCCCCACCTGCCCAGCACGGGGTCTCTCCCAGATTCCTGGTTACGTCTGCCATGGAGCCCTGGATCTGAACATGCCTGCCTCCCCTAGGCACCTGGTTGGCCCCTGTGAGAGCAGGGTGATGGAGTGTCTGGGCCCCTTTGGCTCTTCTGATGGGGAAGGGCCACAGCTCAGGGACGGAGCATCTCTCTGCATGCAGAAGACTCCAGGCTCCTCCACCAATGGCATCTCCAGGCAGGGCTGGGAATGCCCCACTTGCAGCCCTGCAGAGCGGCTCCCCATTGGGGCAGATGATGCTGAATTACAGAGACCAGAGGTCTGACTCAGGGCTCAGCCACACCTGCACTTGCCCCATGCCTACAAAGCACGGGTCCAAGTCATTTTCTGCTGGTTCTTCTGTGCAGCTACCATCTGAGAGCCAGTGTGGTGGAGTGGTTAAGAGTGGTAGTCTCGTAATCTGGGGAACCGGGTTCGATTCCCCGCTCCTCCACATGCAGCTGCTGGGGGACCTTGGGCCAGTCACACTTCTCTGAAGTCTCTCAGCCCCATTCACCTCACAGAGTGTTTGTTGTGGGGGAGGAAGGGAGAGGAGAATGTTAGCTGCTTTGAGACTCCTGAAGGGGAGTGAAAGGCGGGATATCAAATCCAAACTCTTCTTCTTCTTCCAATGCTCCCAAAACGCCTGTGTGATGCCACCTCTGACCTGAGTCCCTTCCTGGAAACCCACCTTACTCATAAAGCTCTTGGTTCACCTGGGCCTCAGCTTGAGCAGGTACAATGGAAGCACCACCTGTTGGCTCCCTGCGGCCTCTGCCACGCCCTACAGGGCCACATTTTAGAGGGAAGGGACCCACCCTCTTGCACTCTGACGAGCTCCGCAGATACACCCAAGCCTGGCCCAAACACTTCCAGTTTCCCAAATCTCAGTGAGCTGCTAATGGACCCCTTCATACCTCTCTGGTCCCTGTTCTGCGTCTGGAGTTGGGGGGTCCGAGTTCCTTCCTGGGAGGTCAGCAGGATCCACCATGAAAAACGTCTGCAGAGGAGAAAACACCATAGGGAGATGGACATGGATATGGTCAGGTGGTCAAATCTGAAGCGAAGGAGGCTTTGGGGGCAGCTCAATCCAAGCAGACACCTGGAGCTACAGAGAAGGACTCATCCTGCTTGATGGTGGAAGAGAGACAGCATAGCCCAGGGCTTCAAGGGCCTGTTCCTGGGCTTGCCTGTTCTCCTGCAGATTTCTGCCTCAGACTTCCCTTCCAGATACTTCATGGAGAATGTCTCCGAAGTTGTGATGGGATTAAGGGCTCATTCACATTTCCTCTTTCCCCTGGAGAAAACCGCTCTTTAGTGCTCATTCAGAGCAAATGGCAATTCAGGTTTTCTCTGGATTGACGTTTGCTCCGGTTTAGAGCTAAAGAGCAGGTTTTCCCTGGGAAAGGAGCAGGGTAAGAAGAAAACCACTTGGGCCTGAGCTTTCTAGGAGTAGGAAGTGTGGAAGATCCCAAAGCTGCACTTAGCTGTGCTTTCTGCATTACAAAGGGTTGGACTGGATGACCCTTTGGGTCCCTTCCAGCTTACAGACCTGTAATTCTGTGAAAGAACGGGAAGCCAGCAATGTGGTTCTCAAAGAGAACTTGAGAAGAGTCTGCTGGATCAGGCCAATGGCCACCTAGTCCGTCCAGCATCCTGTCCTCACAGTGGCCGACCAGCAAGGGGAATCTGAGCCCAAGAGAAACTCGCCCCTCCTGTGGCTTCCAGCAGCTGGTCTTGGGGAGCCTGGCTGCTTCTGACTAGGAAGGAAGAGCAGAGCCATCAAGTTGTGCTCAAGAGGCTGCCAGGGCAGTTGTGCGCGACCCCACTGTGAATGCTGTTTGCATCTGCAAAAGTTTTGGGGCACCAGTCTTCTTCATTGCCAGTCAGTGCCTCTCCTTTGTGACTTCCTGGTGAAAAGCAGTAACTTTCCATACTTTCCATGGCACTGCTGCTTCATGCACCTGCTTTTGTTGCTCTATAGTTCCTCTGGACAGCAATGATGCTGTTGCACCACAGAGCAACTAGCAAAGCAGAAGAAATTCACCATTAATGCACCATTCATGAAAGCTTTGACTGCTGTGGCTGGTGTTTCTTGCTCTCATTGGTGTATCCCAGTGGTTTTCTACAGGTCATTATGTGAACATGTGTGGGTCGAGGTCAAGCAGGGAACAGAGTGGGCATCCTTTGGGAGATGCAGCCTGTGGTTGCAACTTTGGGTACATCCCTGGCACCTCAGCCATTGGGGTGGACATGGTGAGGAACATCTTCTCAGCTAGGTTAGCAACTGCTGGGATTATTTTGTTCTCTCTGGAAGTGCGTAGTTCCTCAATCTCTTCCCCCAGATCTTCAGTCTGAAGCCATGGAGCCTATGGGATCCCTTGGGGAACCTCCTCTGTCCAGCCCCAGCCAAGCTGCCCCTCCCGATTTCACTTATGTATGTAGATTCAGGCACCCTACTTGGCCTGAGCCCCCTCCTCCTCTGGCGGGCCTTTCCAGGTGGTCCTTTTTGTGGAGTATTCATTCTGAACTGTTTGCAGGGAGCTTGCAGGACACATCGCTTTCCTTACTGCAAAAGGTCCATTTTAAAAGAACGAGTTTGTTGCAAAACAGCACCTAATCCATCTCCATGCTGCAACCTGCCATTGCCAGTATGTGGTTGAATCCCACCTGCAAAACTGTCTGGAAGTGGTCTGAGGCAAACGTGAGAATTTCAAATGCTTCTTCGCTTTACTATATTCCTAGATTGGCCCCTATATGTTTCCCGTTTCCTTGACTGTATTTGCCTTGCAAGCGCTTTGAATTTGATAATGGGAAATGGCACATGATGAGACAGGAGGATCTGGCCTCCCAGAGAGACAAGGCAACCTCGCCACATGCTCTGGCATTTGTTTCCTGCCTCAGAGCATCTCCTGCTCGTATCTGCATCACAGGCAAACACATCAGTCCACATGTGTGGCAGCAGTTTGGCACGCTGACCTCAGCTGAAAAGGCACAAAGTCTTCTCCTTCCCACGGGATGGAAAGGCTAGTTTCTCCCTGAGCCTTGAAGCAGGGAGGACAATGGAGGCTCCTGAGCACGCTCCCCTCATTTACGGAATTGCAGGGGGGTCCATGATGTTCTCAGCCCCCCTCAACCCCTCGCAGCATCTCCAGGTGGGGCTGCAAAATATGCTGGGGAGATAGTCTGCATGAAGGCAATGCAAAGGCTTGTGATCTGGCTGGGGTGCATGGGTGGAAGGACAGATGCTATGGGCTTGGGAAGGGGGCTCAGCAGGTGAGGACACCTTGCAGGGGGTCTGCCCTGATGCCTGGAAGCAGGGGGAGTCAGGAGAGCACAAAGGGTGGGTTTATTTTTGAATGATGGATGAACAGCAGAGCATCCAGGACTTGCTCCACAGCCCAGACTAAGTCTCTGGCTTGTTCCCCCATAACTATGGAGGGAACTGCACCCCAAGAGGGTATTTTTAACAATCAGGAATGTATGTTAAGAGGTGTGTGTCACACACACACTACATCTCCCCTTCTTTGGCTAAAAGCCACAAAGAGTCAAACTTTAGGATTGAAACACACTTGTGAAGTTGGGAGTCAGAGGTTCTGACACATGACTTAGTTACAGAAGTCTTTAATGCTTCCCCAAGTTGGTGACTGTCTCCTGAGGGTCTCTGGATGCTTCTAGAGGCTCAGGTCATTGTGAACAGTCCTGGGGAAATAGTTCTCCATCCACTTCAGAGGACTGTCCATTAGATGCATCTTGAGATGGCTCCTCTGATTTCAGGATGTGCCTGGGAGTCTCTCAGACGTCTCTTGTAAGTCCTTTCCCCTTCATATAATCAGTGACGGAGGCAGGGGCCCATCCCTCTCGTTTGCACTTGGACCTGTACCATCTTCTTGTGCCCCTTCCAGTATTTTTTGTGTGGTCTGGACTGTGCGTTCAGCTAGACTGTTGGACTGAGAGTAGGCTGGGCTTGAGTGGTGCCACAATGATGCCCCATTCTCTGGCAAATGGAACATAGGCAGACACCATCACTCGGAATCCCATGGCGGGCAAAAACTAATTTGCCACTATTGTGGCAGATAAATTGTCAGCAAAATGGAGAACTTTTGAGTAGTAATCTATTATCAACAGTGTCTTGAGTTTAAAAATGTCTGCTACAACTGGTGAAGCACGTGGTCACTCGTGGAGTCTTTTTCTGTACGGCCAAAAATGACTTTTTTGCCAAGTTTTCAGCACGGCATTTGATTTGAGAATGTGCTGGCTATAAACATCCCCTTGCCTTGCTGTAGATAGACAATATGCAGGCCATATCATGGGAGTTGCAGGAACATGTGAAAAGGATCCAGGGGTCTTAGTAGACCACAAGCTTAATATGAGTCGACGATGTAGCAAGGGGAAAAGCTAATGCTATTCTGTTAGTATTTGTACAGTGGAACCTCGGGTTATGTTCTGGGTAGCGAACTTTGCCCCGGGATGCAAGTGGAAGTCGCACAGCAGCAGCGGGAGGCCCCATTAATGAAAGCATGCCTCAGGTTAAGAACAGTTTCAGGTTAAGAATGGACCTGCGGAATGAATTATGTTTGTAAACAGAGGTACCACTGTGCTGTATTTGTTAGAAAATGTATTTTCTAAAGAAAAAATTGTACTGGGGAAAAGGAAACCAACATAATGTAATAATGTAACAGCTGCAAAATCTTGTGACTCCAATTAAGGTCACAGAAACACTGAATCATTGCCTTGTTGGTTTGTTAGCTCTCTTTCAGAGTGAGCTCGTGGGTGTCTTGGGTACTGACGGGAGAGGAGGCAGATGGAGGTTGGCCGGTTGTTTCACCATCTCGTTCTCGTGCTCTGATGGTGTTTCCTGCTTGGCAGGGGGTTGGACTCGATGGCCCTTGGGGTCTCTTCCAACTCTATGATTCTATGATTTGTTGTTGTTTTGCTGAGTGTGGAAACTTCAAGCAGACGCTATGTCCAGGAGTTTGTGAGGACAGACAAAGCTATGGACTGATAACTTATGCACTGCAATGAAGGAGTTTTGGAAGCAAGAAGTTTTTTGGAAGCAAGAAGACCCTCTCTTGGGCTCAAGGGAGAGGAATGCATTGTATTGGACTTGAAATGCCTAAATAACATGACTTATTAATAGTAATACTTGCTTTCCTGCAAGTAAAGATTCATCTTCAAAGTCTTGTGTGTAGAGTCTACCAGTCAAGTAGATAAATAGGTACTGCTGTGGTGGGAAGGTAAACAGCTTCCATGACGGTGTCCCATTGCACCACTGCTGGCCACATGACCTGGGAAAAAAAGTTGGTGGACAAACGCCGGCTCCCTCGGCCAGAAAGCGAGCTGAGTGACACACCCCATAGTCTAGTTTGACTGAACCAGGGTCCTTTACCTTTACTTCATCACTAGAGCTTTGAGGGTGAACCTGCTACACCACTCTGCATGACTCAGAAAAATAGACAACATATTCTAGGCTTCATCAGCAGAAGTCTAGTGTCTAGAAGTCACTCTATTCTGCCCTGGTCAGACCACACCTGGAGTATTTGGGCACTACAATTTAAGAAGGATGTTGACAAGCTGGAATGTGTGCAGAGGAGGGTGACCAAGATGATAAAGGTTCTGGAAATCAAGTCTTATGAGGAACAGTTGACATTGCAACAGGTTCCCTCAGAAGGTAGTGGGCTCTCCTTCTTTGGATAGCCATGCATCATGGGTGCTTTGTTAAGATTCCTGCATTGCAAGGGTTGGACTATATAGAGGACCCTCAGGATTCCTACCAACTCTACTGTTCTATGATTCTGTGAGCCTTTGCAGCCTTGCTGGGGCCTGCCCAATGGGCCTGGTAAAAAATCACTTCCAAGGGTTTGTGATCTGATTGGACCAACACTGCCATGACAAACAACTATTGGTGAAACTTCTTCACAGCAAATGAAAGCAAGATGTTCTCTGTCAATGTGTGCATAGGTTTTTCCAGCCTGTCTTAGGGCTCGAGAG